GTGTCCAGTATGTGACCCACAGGCTTCCACATGTCCTCTGTCTGTCAGCACCAGCAGAAGGTGTAGCTCAGGTCTCCTAAAATTCCAGACCCAAATGCTCAAAGTCTTCCTCACATGTCCAAAAAAATCCTGGCCTTTACCCAACAGAATGTTCTCCAGGGATTAAAGTAGAAAAATTCCATTTATTACTATTAAAGTCTCTGAGCTACATGTGTAAGTTGCTGAACTGAAGGAAGAATGACACCTTGTAATAATGTCTTAGTAAAAGACCTGGAATTGTCAAGAGACTGTTTTTAATACTTTTTCATACTTCAAAATTCAGGGTCAAAGCCAGACTCCAGCCCTACCCATAATTAAGTTTTTTTTTTTAATAATGACATGTAAATATATATTAGTAAAAATATATAAATATATATATTTTTAACCTGTTCTAAAAAAAATTCCACAAACAAAACTAACCACAAAATCACCTGTACCTCCAAAATAAAATTATGATGGAATCCTTGCTATATAAAGAGAGAGAGAGACAAATAACTAAAGAAAAGAGGAACGGTGGGATGTGTTGCTACTGGGAAAGCAGGAATTCCAGGAGCCATGGTTTGCAGTTCCAGGATAACTACCTACTGGCTGAGTTGGCTGTTAGGGCTAAAGCCCAGCTAAAAATAAGGTGCAGAGCAGATGAGCCAGGGCAAGGCCGGGCAAGCCCCGAGGCCGTGTTAAGCCAGCCTGGAGCTGTGAGGGTAATATCTCTAATTCCAAACAAGCTCAGTTTGATCCTGAGCTTTATTCCTCTTCTTCTGCTTGTGTGTTAGAGCCTCACAGCCCTACTAAACTTCCACGGGTCCCAAAGCCCCTTCACCAGGAGTCAGGTGAGTGCAGAGCTGCTGCAGGCTGTCCAGGCAGTGTGTCAGGCGTGTCCTCCAGCACTGAGCTCTGGAACAGTCTGGCGTTCCTCTTTGCTGTTTGTTTCTGGTCATGGGATGGAAAAAGAACAGTTAATAGTTGACCTAAATTCAGGCCTGGTTAATTATAGTTTCCTTCAGTTCTGGCTTTGTTCTCTGCGTGCTCGCTGCCAGGTGAGGATAACCTGCAGTCCTAGAAAGCTTCATGCCAGGGAGGGAAGCGATGACAAGAAAATTACAGGGTAAAATTCCAGCCTTTTCTATTGGAAAAGTTTATCCAGAGTTGGCTCCAAACATAATTCAAATACACAGAGGATTATGCATTTCTACGTGGCTCCCTGAGTGTGCAGCTGGCATCGAGCCCCGGTGCAAATGAGGGCTAGGAGCTGCTTTTGCTGATGGTGCGTGGAAGGGAAGAGCTTCCCCTGATGTCAGCACAAGGAATATAGTGCAGGAAGTCTTCCATCCTTCCCAGAATCACCCTGCAGCTGGAACTGCTCAGGTACCAGAGAAGCACATATTTCATGGAGGCAGTCGGCACTCCAGGATGTTTCCTTTGCTCTTTTAAGTGTAAGAACAAAGTAGGATGGGGTCTGTGTTTGTGGCCCATGGAGTTCCTGCGTTTCGTGACTGATCCTGCAGCCTGGGGATTCAGCCCTTCCTTTAATCCCTGTTTGTTTGTCATTCTGCCTGTCACTGTCACTCCAAAGGTTCCTCTGGAAGAGAGCATAAGCAGAGGTAATTCTCCAAGCTTAGTCATCTCAGGAGGTCTGTGTGTGAAGTCACAAGAGCAACTTCTCTCCCTTTCCTTCATTCCTTAGCGTGGTGAAACTGTTGTGGAGGTGGAGCTGTGTCTGAACCTGGTTGCTGGCATTTTTATTTCCATTAGGAAACGCTTTAGTGTCTTTGTGTAACACCTCCTCTGACACCAGGACACCTTTACGAGAGCACCAAACCTTCTCTGCCACATCAGCAGCACTTCCATCCTCACGTGGTGGGGCACATCCAGGTGATGGGTGACCAGGTGGCCAGAAGGGTTTTTGTAACCTGACTGAGTTTTTCTGGGGTTTGTTTTTTGTTAATGCCCAAGTGATTTCTTCCACCTGCCCTGAGGGAATTGTTAAATCCAATGTTCTCTTTTGTGTAACTGCACTGTGTTTCTGCAGCAGCGGAGCTGGCTTGCTTTGTGTTATCAAAAGTTCATAGATAATATTTATTTATTGTGAAATATCCCAGAGAGACACTCTGCAGGGGCTTCTGGAAGCACTTCATGGATATTGCCTTGAACACACAGGGAAACATCAAGTAAAGCTGTGTATTTTTATGGCCAGCTGGCTCAGTTGGGGTTGCTGCAGAGACAGGCTCTTCCCTCAGCCCCCAAAAACAAACAAGCAGAAGTTTTGGCAGCAGTTAAGCAAACAACAAACTCTCCTACAGAGACACTGACAGCATTAAGGATCCAAATCGTGGAGGCAAGACTGCAGGTCCCAGTGTCAGTGCTCCACATGGGAAGGGGGTCTGGGACAGGGACCTTAGGACAGGGCACATTCTTTTCATGCCACAAAAGTGTTGTGGTAGTGGTAGAAAGTCGTTTGGCGCTTCTGGAGTAAAAGGCAATTTCAGGCAATTCTTCAAGAAAAGATAAGGGAGAATGTGTAACTTGCCAGGGTTTTGTTTTTTAAGGACCTAATAAATCAAAGCACACGAGGTCCAGCACATCCCAGAGCCTAATGAGAACATCCTGTCATCGTATCTGCGCCCTGGCGACCTGGGTGGTTTCTGTTGCTGATCCCTCACGAGCAGGCAGTGCCAGCAGCACCACAGAAATGCTGCATGGACACAGTTTGTGTGGAAATCGCTGGGAATTACGCTGGAACCGTTTGGAATGTGCCTTTGAACTAAAGGATTCTTTTTTTCTTCGCTGGTTTTTCAAAAGGCACACTTCAAAATAAGGCTCAGGAGGCGGTGACAGGATGGACTGGCCTAGTTTCCTTACTTTGGGAATAGCAGAGTGGAATTTTTTAGTAGCTGCAGAACATGTCTGTCCCTGGGGACATTTTGTACATTAACACACTCTTTGGAAAGGGACTCAGATTGATCTCAGTGGGTTCCACGCTGGTTTCTCATTAGTTTCATTTTGAATTAGTGAAGGTGTGGATCTTCCCTAGATACTTCTCCTTGCTGTATATTCAGCAAAAGGCTAAATTAAGCAGTTGAGCTAGTGAACATATGGGAGGAACATGATAGATAGATAGATAGATAGATAGATAGATAGATAGATAGATGATGCTTATTTAAGGAATGCTTCTATCACTAGCACAGAATTGAGCCCATGTATTTTACAATATAAAGTAAGATGGTAAGAATCTCCCATGTGAGTGATGCCGAGAGTTCTCTTTAGGTACACAGGAGGGTTGGTTTAGGAGGGTTTAGGAGAGTTGTTGATAACAGTGTTGATGAAATTAGATTTGGGCAGATCACAATTTTATGTAATGGCAAGGAAGGAGCTGTAGTTTCATTATTTTACAGCCTCACACTAGGACAAACACCTGCTGTAATCCAGAAGAGCCATTTCTCTTGGCACAAGAGCATGGGCTGATCTGTTCCTACAGGTAAGGTTGGGATGTAAGTGGTGCAGGCAACTAGCAAATTAAAAAAGGAAGAGGTAACAAACCAGCTAATTCCAGAATGAGATTAGGATGGATTAGTCTGTCTAGCTCAAATCCCCAAACAGCCAGACTGGTTCTGTGTGTTCCTTCACCGTTGCCCCTTGTGTTGTCTTTCTCCCAAGTAACAAGTGATCAGGCAAGAGGAAATGGCCTCAAGATGTGCCAGGAAAGGTTCAGGTTGGACATTAGGGAGAATTTGTTACATTTGACACATGCTGCGCAGGGCAGCAATGGATTTCCTGTCCCTGGAGGGATTTAAAAGCTGTGTGGATGTGGCACTTGGGGACATGGCTGCACCCTCTGAAACAGCAGTGGGCAGTGCCTGTCACCTGGGATTGAGCCTGGCTGTTTGCTCTGAACTCACTCAAGTGCTGCATTATGGAAAACAGACCAGAGAACAGATAAACCCCTCGTGTGACAGGGGGTTTTTTGGGCTGGGCACTGCAAGCTCTGGGAAGTTGGCACCGCGGGCACCGCGGTGTGACAGCGTTCCAGCTGGGTTTCCCTTGGATGCTGTGCTCGGCAGCTGTGCCAGCTGGAGCGGTTGTTGGAATTGGAGTGGGTGTATGATTTTCCCACTGTTGTGCTGTCCTGGGGTTGGCATACTTGAGAGTGCCTGAAGACACAGGAAGGGCTGGTTTGTGGACTTGCAGCCTTGGCATTCATGAATTCCAGCACAGAGGAGAAGGGCTGGAAGTTTGCTGTCCTAGGGGAAAGTGTCTTGATAGAGAGTGAGTGGGAAGCAGGAGTGTTCTCTGCTCTCCATCCACTGGATGCTGGTTGCTCTGGCTGGCTTTGTAGAGCAAGTGAGATCCCTGTGTGTTTTTGGGAATAGTGGGGGAACAGGGGTGCTCCTGACTCACAGGGATACAGGAACCATAGTACACAGCTCACTGTGTGCACCATGAGATGTTCATTGCTCAGAGATTGTTGGAGTACTGGTGTGGATTTGGGAGGAGCCATGTATCCTACAGCTGTGAGGTTTGACCTGTCAAAAATCCCTGGGCATGTTTTGTTTTACTGCCTTGGACTTTATGTGTGGAGTAAGAACCATGATCAATTACAGACCCATGTGGTTGAATGAATTTTTTTTCTTGGTTTTCTGGTGATTTCTCCCAGCCCTACACCACAAGAATCATTTCTTCAGGGTTCCTGATGTATTTTTTCCAGAGAAGTGGTGACTCTGCTTTGTGGGAGGACTTCTCTGAAATGGAACATTTCATTGGTCATATTGTGGAATCACAGATTGAGTTGGGTTGGGTTGGGTTGGGTTGGGTTGGGTTGGAAGAGACCTTAAAGACCCCCTGCCCGGGGCAGGGACACGTTCCACCAGACCAGGTCCCTCCAAGCCCCGTGCAGCCCCATCCTTGAGCACTTGCAGGGATGGGGCAGGAATGAAGACCCCACTGATGGCAGACTGTCCTTGCAGAGTCCCTCCTCGCTGGCCTCGGAGCGCTGGCTTCCCTGCACGGCCACCTTGAGCAGCAGCTGAACGAGACCCTGCGGCGCCGCCGCCACGCGGGGGACAACGACCACAACATCGAGGTGCTGCTGGGCGTGGACGACTCCGTTGTCCGATTCCACGGCAAAGAGCACGTCCAAAACTACCTCCTCACCCTCATGAACATCGTGAGTATCGTCTGGGAGCTGCGGTGGCTGGTGGGAGCTCTTGGAGGAGCACCAGGTTTGGGAAAAATAGCAGTGGAATCTTTCTGGCTGCTTCTGGAGAAGGTTTTCTGGTTTTAATGTTCTTTTAATTCATCTTTTTCATAGTAGTTTCCTTCCTAGGACAATTTCACGTGTGTTTCTTGTAATGTGGAAATAGTTGAAAATAGTAAGGGGAAAAAGTGAACTTGATCCGTTTCTGGTAATTCTGAGCTTCTTCCACAACACAGTTCTGGAGAAGAACTGATTAAAGCATAAATATCTAGAGGAAAAGGGGTTTTAAACCCCCAGTGGCTCTCTGACAGAGCAGACCTTCTGGTAATAGCAGTAGATCTGTCTCAGAAACTGTGGCATCCTAAGGTGTTCCATGAAATAAAAACAATCTCTTAAGGATGAGGGTGAGGGACTAATTATTCCCATAACGATTCCCATTAATAATGATTTTATGGATGTAGGAATGATTCTTATATGTTTTACACTCTTTTATTCCTGGAATTATTTTTAAATGATTCCTTGGCTTTTCAGAGCTTCTAAATTTGAGAATTTAGAATCTGAGAGGAAAAAAAAAATGATTCCTGTATGAATTTAACCCAACCAATGTGCTGTTTTCTGGCACATCCCTCAGAGAATCATCTCCTTTTCCCCACATACGCCGTGGAACATCAACATTAAATCTCCATTAGACATGATTGCAGAATATTGTCCTTTTGGTTTTGAAACCTTTTCAGTGAGCAGCAGGGTTGGTCCATGGCCCAGACCACTTCCATGTTTTTCACACTCCTGCGGCTCCATCTGCTGGGAGCGGCTGTGGGGCCGAAGGCAGAGCGAGCTGACACCCAGAGCTGCCCAGAGCCATCCAGAGAACGGGATAAAATGGGGACTGTGGGGAAATCTTGAAGACTTGAAGCTTCAGGTCAACTCCAGGGTCCTTTCAACTCCAGGGAAGTCATTCCTGTGTCTAGAAAACTCCCGTGTTGTCTGTTGGCACAAGGGAAGTTGTGAGCACTGATCCTGGCCCAGCTCTCTGTGGGAGCAATGCTCTTCCATTGATGGGAAGGAAATAAGAGAGGAATACCTGACCTTTGGGATGATTGCTTCACAGGACAGGCAGCCTGAGTTCTGTACTCATTCTCTGTCCCACTGCCCTGCTGACACTGCTCTCAGCCTGAGGGATTTCAGGTTTAAACCATGGGCTGAAATCCTCGTGCCAGGGCCCACAGTCTGGACAGCTCCCAGTGACCTTTTTCCCTGAGGGGAAGTTTGTTTAGCCTGACTGAAAAATAAAACAACCCTCTAACTTCTGCTCAAACCCACCAGCCTCTGAACAGGGGTGTTTATTTCTCACCAGTTGCCCATAATATAATATTTATTTTGTTTTTAGGGGAATGAGGAGCTTCATTGAGGACCTGCAGATGTTTCACACTCTGGTGCCAGGACATTTCTCACCTTCCCAGACACAGGGAAGGGCCTCAAGAAGGACAACTTTTGGCCCATCTGCATAATTCTGTTTTTCTAACTTCCCTTCCACAAAGCCTCTTTTTAGTACAGAAGTGACCACAGAATTCTAACTGATCTTGAAAAAGTAGGGCAGCAGTATAAGTTGCTCCTAGAAAGTACTCTTCAAAACAAGATGCACTGGAAATGCTCCAGGACAGGTTGGACAAGGCTTGGAGCAGCCTGGTCTAGTGGAAGGCATTCCTGCCCATGGCAGAGGGGTGGAATGAGATGAGCTTTAAGGTGCCTTCCAGCCCAAACCAGTCTGGGATTCTGTGATTTGCAGGGTTTGTACTCAAAGTCTTTTTCCCAATTCCCTTTTCTTTGAGCTCTGATCCATGAAACATGAGAGGAGGCTTGACATGTGCTTCCCAAAGTTCCATGTGAATGACAGGAAGTGAATCTACGGTTTCCACTGAGCAGAATTATCTGAGATTTGAATCCTCTTCTGAGGAATGTAGTGGTACAAGCACTTGAAAAAACCTCTCCGTGGCCTTGGAAGTTCCCTTGGTATCATCAGTGGTTTTTTTTTTTTTTTCCTTTTTAATTTTTCCTCTTTTTTCCCTCAGGTGAACGAAATTTACCACGACGAGTCCCTGGGTGTCCACATCAACGTCGTGCTGGTCCGAATGATCATGTTGGGGTACGCCAAGGTGAGCGAACCTCTCCTCCCCCCTCATCCCCTGGGCACAAAGTGCCAGCTCTGCTGAAGTGGCTGCTGCAGGAGGCACAGGCTGTAACGTGAGGCTCTCTCAGTCCATCAGCCTGATCGAAAGGGGGAACCCCTCGCGCAGCCTGGAGAACGTGTGCCGCTGGGCCTATCAGCAGCAGAAGTCGGACCCCAGCCACGCCGAGCACCACGACCATGCCATCTTCTTAACCAGGCAAGATTTTGGGCCCGCTGGTATGCAAGGTAATGCAGCTGACCTGGAGCAGAGCTCTGGGCTCGGTGTTTCTTGGCTGGCGTCTGCCAGAAAAGAGGAAAAATTGGGAATTGCATTGTGAGCTCCCTGCCTTGTTCGTTCCGCAAGCTTTTTCAGAAGCAAGGGGACCTTGCCATGACTTCTTGCCATTTGCATCCAATTTTTTTCTTGAGAGTTGTAAATAAATACTTCTTAGCTCTCTTCAAACTCCTGTGTGTGCAGGGATCGCTGGAAACCTCAGTGCACGTGGCATTCCACTCCCCTTTATTTGATTGCATCTTTCACCACAGGTTTTCATTTATTGACATCCCAGCCACTCTGACACCTGCATCCATCCTTTGGCCTCAGGGAACTAATGATAGTGGGCAGGAACTCCCAAAGTTTGGGACGTGTCAGAGCAGGCACAGCTCAGGACCAGGAGCCAGGCAGGCTGCCCTGGCCTTAGAGCAATGTTAGCTTTTCCTGAGGAAGTTTACTGGGGGTTCTCATTTAAAATCCATGTGCTGAGCACAGGACTCAGCCCTGATGTCTCTCTGTAGGATATGCTCCTGTGACTGGCATGTGCCACCCGGTCCGGAGCTGCACCCTCAACCATGAGGACGGGTTTTCGTCAGCCTTTGTTGTTGCTCATGAGACTGGGCACGTGTAAGTACCGCTTTTACCATCAGACCACGCCAAAATGCTGGCCTGCACCCCTGCTTGCTCCAGGGGTGTTGGATTTAATGGCTCTGTGGAAGCTGTCCTGGCTTTATTTCCAACCCCCTGGGAGTGCAGTAGTGATGGAAGCAATGGAGCGACAAGTGGGGGAAGAAAGGAAGGAGAGGCAGGGTGAACTTGTTTTCTCTGGGGTGAGGGAAAGGTCAGGAAGGGACCTGGGAGGTCCAGGCAGTGGAGAAAATAGCTAGTTTGAGTGTCCTTCACTGCCTTCTCCTCAACTGCCTGTGCTGGTGGGTCAGATTTGGTAGCTCTTCCATAGCTTTTTCCTTACAGTTGTTTTTGCAGTAGCTCTGAGGGGAGTTCTTCGTTCCAGGCTGGGCATGGAGCACGATGGGCAAGGGAACAGATGTGGGGACGAGACGGCGATGGGCAGTGTCATGGCCCCCTTGGTGCAGGCCGCCTTCCACCGCTACCACTGGTCCCGCTGCAGCGGCCAGGAGCTCCGCAGATACATCCAGTAAGGCCTCCCGCTGCAGCCAGGCTCTGATCCCTCTCTTTTCAGACCCTCTTTCCCTTCAAATCTCTGTGAGAAAAGCTCTGACCCATGAAGGCTGGTGTCTTCACACGGGGCTGGTCCCTAGCCCATCCGATCTGGATGAAAAGCCTGTGGAAAGACACCTCTAACTCCAGCGGGATTTGGAATTGGCCTCAGATTGTCACAGAATCCCAGACTGGTTTGGGTTGGAAGGGACCTTAAAGCTTATCTCATTCCAAAACCCCTGCCACGGACAGGGACCACGTTGCTCCAAGCAAGCCCTGCCCAACCTGGCCTTGGACAGTTCCAGGAATGGGGCAGGAATTAGGAATACACATCTTCTCAGGTTTTTTTTTTCTGTGTCTCTTTCCATAGCTCTTATGACTGTCTTCTCGACGACCCCTTTGAGCATGACTGGCCCAAGCTTCCTGAGCTGCCAGGCATCAACTATTCCATGGATGAGCAGTGCCGTTTCGACTTCGGCGTGGGCTACAGGATGTGCACAGCAGTACGTCCACACACCCAGGCAGAGGCACACAGCAAGGGGATGGGACAGCTGCAGTGCCATAATCATTGGAGAGGAGTTAATGGAGGATTTAGGGAGATCTGTAAAGAGCAGAGGGATATTTATGGGGGAAACTCAGTCCTCTGGGTCCTGTGGAATAATGGGAAGATGAGTGGCAGCATGGTCCGTGTTGCACGGACGGGTGAGAGCAATACCAAGAAAGAAAAGGAAAGAAAAAATCTCATTTTTGTCCCACTTCTAAGTGTCTTCTTTCCTCTTTTCACTAGCCCAGGGCTGGGGGATGCAGGGAATAAGAGCTGCCCTGAAGATTCCAGGCTCATTGGGGTGTGTGAGATGGAATCTATGGAGTGGGTTGGATCCTTATCCAAAAAAACACAAATAAAACAGAAGATATAAATCATAAACAAAACAAATACAAAAGTATTTGCTTATCCAAAAAGTACAAACCATCTCACATTCCGCGTTTGGTCTTTGTGGTTTTCAGTTCCGAACCTTCGATCCGTGCAAGCAGCTGTGGTGCAGCCATCCCGATAACCCCTACTTCTGCAAGACCAAGAAAGGGCCTCCCCTCGACGGCACAGAGTGTGCCCCAGGAAAAGTGAGTCTCTCTTTGGCCTGGGAAAAAGACCAGCAGTTCCCTCCATCTGGGCTGAAGGGCACAGAGGGGAGCGGGGAATTGCCTGGCATGCCTGGGGTGAAGCCAGAGCACGGGGGAAGCGGGAGCTGTGCTTTCCCTCTGGGGTGTTCTGGGAGCTGCACAAGGTTTGCACATTTTGGGCATAGAGATTCCAGCTGAGGTGCAGCTGTTCTGTGGCCTCTTTCTGCAAAGTTTCCATCAAATGCCTTTAGGAATCCATGGAAGCAGATGATGCTGTTACTGTGGGATGGCTGCTCAGAGCTCACTGCACCCTGTGGCAAATGTTTGTGCAGGCTGAGGATTAGCGCCCGATTTTTCCCTGTAATATCCCCATTAGTGGGTGTCCTGCTGCCAGTCCATTCTCAAGTATAAAATTACACTCAGATACCTGGGTATTTTTAGCAAATTCCCTTTTATTTTGAAATACAGGAGAGCCGCTTGTACAACCTGAATGTGCCCCAGGCAGCAGCAAAATATTGCTGTCCAGTTCTTACGCACTTGATTTGAGGATTGTGTCTGTTCTCTCCTGTTTCCTGCCCCAATTCCCTCAGTGGTGCTACAAGGGTCACTGCATGTGGAAGAACACCAACCAGTTGAAGCAGGATGGACACTGGGGACCCTGGACCAAGTTTGGCTCCTGCTCGCGGACCTGTGGGACCGGGGTTCGCTTCCGCACGCGCCAGTGCAACAACCCAATGTAGGTGTGGGAGCTGCCTGGTCCTCAGAGGGGCTGCTTGAAATGGCTTTTGGGTTTGGGGTGGACATTCTGTTCAAGCCCCTCGAAATGGGATCATTTATGGAGAATCCAAGAATTCCATAGAATTACAGAATCCCAGCCCGGTCTGGGTTGGCAGGGACCTTTAAGCCCATCCCATTCCATCTCCTGCCATGGGCAGGGACACCTTGCACTATCCCAGGCTGCTCCAGACCCTGTCCAGCCTGGCCTTGGATACATCCAGGGGCAGCCACAGCTTCTCTGGGCAGCCTGTGCCAGGGCCTCAGCACCCTCAGAGGGAACAATTTCTCCCCGATGCAAACCTCTGGAATGTTTCCTTCTCACAGGCCCATCAACGGAGGTGACGACTGCGCCGGGGTCAATTTTGAGTTCCAGCTGTGCAGCACCGAGGAGTGCCCGAAGCACTTTGAGGATTTCAGGGCACAGCAGTGCCAGCAGCGCAATTCCCACTTCGAGTTCCAGGGCAGCCGACACCACTGGCTGCCCTACGAGCACCCCGACCGTGCGTCCTGCTCTGGGCCTTTAGTGACACTCAAAAGGGTTTGAAGCCATTCCCCTTGGCCTGGATATCTCAGGGGCAGGCCCAGAATTCCCAGAAAAGCCAATAAGTTGGTTCCCTCACCATCCATCTGTCTGTTTTGTCTGAAAAAAAAAATAGTTTTGCCTTAAATCCGGACTTTAATACCCAAATTTCCTGCTCTGACTCAAATTTTTTTCATTTTAGCCCCAAACAATCCATTTCTCTCTTATTTATCCCTGAAATGGACAGTTTTGACCCTAAATTAGCACATTATATGTAAAAAATAGCAGACTTGCCCTAAATCTCTGATTTTAACCTGCATTTTCCCTCCTCTGACCCAAATGTGCTCTTTTTACTGCCAAAGTCCCTATTTTCCCCCCAAACTTGCCCCTTATCCCTAAAGTTGACATTTTTGCTCCAAAGTTGCAGAATTATGTCTCAAAATCACAAGTCTTACCCTAAAATCTCCCGTTTCCTCCAGGCCCCCAGTTTTGCCCTGAAATTTGCCTTTATGACTTCAAATTGATGTTTAGCCCTAAAATGGATACTTTTTACCCCAAATGACCACATTGTGCCTCAAAAACACCAGTTTTGCCCTAAATCCCCAGGTTTCTGCCCGAACATCCCCATTTTCCTCCAAAACTTCCCCACAATCCACTTTTTCCTTCCCAAACCACCCCATTCCACTGCTCTGCCCCCATCCTCACCCCCAAAGCTGCCTGTCCCTTCTCTCTCCTCGCTCCATCGGTGGGATAGTTGTCTGGAACACACCTGGGTCATGCAGCCCTTTCTTTTCCCTGGCTCCACAGCTCCCAAGAGATGTCACCTGTACTGCCAGTCCCGAGAAACGGGCGACGTGGCTCATATGAAGCAGCCGGTGCACGACGGGACTCGCTGCTCCTACAGGGATCCCTACAGCATCTGTGTCCGTGGGGAATGCGTGGTGAGTGGCACCTGCTCCGGGGACAGCTCGTGGGGACAGCTCCCAGGCAGTGAGGGACTTGGCAGATGTCTCTGAATTCCCTGTTTGCAGCATTGTGTTCCTCCGATTCCTTGAGATTTAAGTTACAACAGCACAGACCTGTTCCAGGGAAATGCTCTGCTTGTCTTCCACTCATTGTTTCTTGTCGTAGAATTCCAGACTGGTTTGGGCTGAAAGGGACCTTAAAGACCATCAGTTCCACCCCCCTGCCATTTCCTTCCACTAGCCCCCCCATCCAACCTGGCCTTGAACACTTCCAGGGACAGGGCAGCCACCGCTTCCCTGAGCAGCCTGTGCCAGGGCCTCAGCACCGTTATAGGAAAGAATTCCCTCCTAATACCCAGTCTCACCCTTTTTTCTGCAGAAAGTGGGCTGTGACAAGGAAATTGGCTCCAGCAAGGCTGAGGACCAGTGCGGGGTGTGTGGCGGGGACGACTCCCACTGCCGGACCGTGAAGGGGACCTACACCCGCACTCCCAAAAAGCTCGGTAGGAATAACAGCTGCCTGCAGCTGCCTGGAAGTCCTGCTGCTGCCTCTGGGGCTTGTGTGACACTCTCAGACACGAGACAATGCCATAATCATTCAAACCTTGGGAATAATGGGTGTAACACCGTCCCATGAGGCCCATCCCCGAGCCTGTTCAGGATGAGCTGCTGTCCATCAGCCCCTGATTGTGGATGGATATGGGGGTGTTCAGGGAATGCTGATAGATTTTCCCTGGCCTGGGTAACCTGGTCATTAAGAAGGCTGATAGACCTCTGTCTGCAGGGAAACACGTAAGCAAGAGGTGCTCAAGGTTTGAGAATGCAGTTTCTGCAAATACCCAACTTAAAATCCTGCCCGGATTGTCTGACGTCCATGGACTGGTCATCTTGCCCAGATGTGTCCAAATCCACTGTAAATGCATTTGTCTGTGATGTAATTTACATCTTTTGCTTGTAAAGAGCATCTGGGTGACACCCAATCAGTGGAATGACCAGACTTGGCTCTCAGGACACTAATTCCAGGTGTTCTGTTTAAGGGAAGACCAGAGGAGCCTTACCCAGAGGAGCTCACAGTGTTTCCCTTTCTGGGACAAAGGAGGCTCAAAACATTCTGGGCAAGTGCAAGGCTTGTAAGGAGAGAGGCATCCCTGGGAATGGCAGTTCCTATCTTCCTGTAGACATGGACATGCCAAACCAGGCAAAAATTTGATGTTCCCTGTGCTCTAAAGGCAATGGAGGAAAAGATTGGAAATGCTGTTGGGCACAGGCGTTGCTCAGCCAGGACTGTGATCTTCCCTGTTCCCAGCTCTTCTGTTCCTTCACTTGGATTTTCTCAGGAGCTGTGTATGTCAGGGGCAGGACAGACTGCCAGTCCCAGAATCCAGTGATTTTGCTCTAATTGAATCTGCAGTGTTAAAAAGAAAATAACAGGAATATGAAAATACCATGCACTCAGAGAACTTAGGGGGCTCTTGATTAAATCTTGATCTGTGACCCATCCCTGGAAGGGATTCTAGTCTTCCTAATGGCAGTGCTTCCTTCATTTTACACTAATTACCTGTGATTTGCACTGGTAAATAATTGAAATTGAAACTAAGAACATTTTTATTTGGGAATAACTTTTTACTTTCACTGCAGACATGACCATCTGAAAGGGCAGTCAGTAAGTTCCAATCCAACAACCTGGCTGAGGACTGATTTGGGAAAGTAGTGAGAGAGACTTGTGCTTGTGCTGAGGAACACAGGAAACATCTCTGTGCCTGAACTGTTGATAGATCCTGCTTGGAGCAGCATGGCTGTAAATATTAAACTGATCCCAGGTGGGAAGTGGCAAATCCATCTGTAACTGGTGTCCCTTCCCTCCCTGGAAGAGCCCAGGGAGGGCCTCTCCCACCCACCCCGTTACAAACAGATTGGCTCCGTGTTTCCCTGCTCATCCCTGGCTGCTGGATGCCCTGTCCTGCCAGCAGAGCTGGGTGTGCCCTGCTCTCCTGACCATGGCTGTTCCTTTCTCTTTCCCTCCCTGCTGCCTCCTGACCCTGCACCTGCCAAAGGGTACCTAAAGATGTTTGATATCCCTTCTGGAGCTCGACATGTGTTCATCCAAGAAGACGAGGCCTCTCCTCACTTTCTGGGTAAGCATTTTTCTGCTCAAGTGTGAGAAGAAGCACGGGGTGCTCATGCCAGAGAACCTGAGGGATGAGAGAATCCACTGAAGGGGTTGGGTAAATGTGGGCTTTCCAGATTGCCTGGTCAAGGCTTAGTCCTGCAGTCCTACAGCTCAGCAAACAAACATCTGCTCATCTGAATTCTCCAAAATGTAAAACTGACCCAAATTTGCACTAACCAGGGATTGTCATGACTTGCATCAAAGTGGGAACTGCCAGGGTGAATTTAATTCAGTATCTTTTAATTATCCTCTGGTGCATTGCAAAAAGCTGCACAGAAGAACAGTGGGTGTTGGAACTGAATTATCTTTAAGGTCTCCCTTCCAATACAAACCATTCTGTGATTCCAGCTCTTAATGAATGGCTTTTAATTAAAGCATCATCATTATCATCATCATAATCCCCGCTGTACCTGGCTGTTGGGGTGTGCTGTGGAAACCCAAACCCAGGCAGTTCCACAGGGCTCCTGCTCCTCAGCTCTTCACTTACAGATTTTAGCATCTGGAACAGCCTAACCTGTGTGCACAGAGCTAATTAAAATGTGATGTAAATCTGTTATCTTCATCATCTGATGGAAACACCCCTCCCCGTGCCACCCCGATTGCTGCCAGTGCGGGCGAGGCACGACAGGCTCTGCTCTCACTCCTCCCAGCAATCAAGAACCAGGCTACGGGACACTATATCCTGAATGGGAAAGGGGAGCAGGCCAGATCCCGGTCCTTCATCGACCTGGGCGTGCAGTGGGACTACAGCATCGAGGACAACACGGAGACGCTGCGCACGGACGGGCCCCTGCACGACGCCGTGGTGGTGCTGGTGGGTGACGCGTTGAGCTCGGCCCGGGGCACCTCGGCGCTCGGCAGAGGAGCCAGCACCGGCGCTGGGTTCACGTTCGCTCGTTCCTAGATCGTTCCTCGGGAGAACGACACCAGGTCCAGCCTGACCTACAGGTACATCATCCACGAGGATTCGGTGCCGACCATCCACAGCAACAACGTGCTGCGGGAGGACACGGACACCTTCGAGTGGGCCTTGAAGAGCTGGTCCCAGTGCTCCAAACCCTGCGGCGGAGGTGAGCCAGGGATGAGGCACCTGTAACGGGGGACGGATTGCCAAAGCTCTGCGGGAAGGGAATGATTCAGATTCCTGGTTTCCCTTCTTTAACAGCGGTTTGTTATTTTAGGGCTTAAAATACCTGAAGTGCATGGTTGTTCCCAGGTGTCACACTTCCCTAGGAAGAAAAAGGCCTCTTTCGGTGTTTAAATTCAGATTCCAAAGCTACTTTGGATGCCCAAACTCAGGCATTGACGCTCCTGAGCATTCCCTGGTCTGTCCATGGTTCTTAGGCAAATAATGGGAACGCAAAAAAATACCTGTCCTGTAAACCCATTCACTAGGCCAGAAAACCCTATTTAAGCCAAACATTCTAACAAGGACCTGATTCTTCTGATTGCTCTGACACGTTCCCCAGGGTTCCAGTACACCAAGTACGGGTGCCGCAGGAAGAGCGACAACAAGATGGTTCATCGAAGCTTCTGCGAAGGCAGCAAAAAGCCAAAGCCCATCCGCAGGATGTGCAACCTGCAGGAGTGCACAGAGCCCCTGTGAGTACAGCTGGGATTGTTCCTTTGGACAGGGACAGGGTAGCCCCAGCTAGATGGGGTGGGATGAATTTGAGGGCATGCTGGTGGGCAGTTTCTACCTGTCTTAAGCATGGATACTAATCTGATTGGGTGGTATATATGTATAAAAATATATAAAATCATGGAATAGATTGGGTTGGGAGACACCTTAAAGCTCATCTCTTTCCAGCCCCCTGCAGTGGGAAGGGAGTTTTTCCACTAGCTGAGCTGGCTCCAGGGTTGAGGCAGCCACAGCAGGACACAAAGGTTAACACTTGACGGTGCCTGACTCCATTTCCCTTCCCAGCTGGGCAGCAGACGAGTGGGAGCACTGCACCAAAACGTGCGGGAATTCTGGCTACCAGCTGCGCACGGTGCGCTGCATCCAGCCCCTGGCGGACGGCACCAACCGCTCCGTGCCCGCCAAGCTCTGCAGCGGGCACCGCCCCGAGAGCCGGCGCTCCTGCAACCGGGCGCCGTGCCCCGCGCCCTGGAAAGCCGGGCCCTGGTCCCAGGTGGGCAGCGGGGGGTGGGGGCAGCACCAAGCCTGTCCCAGAAGCGGGCACGCGGGGATCGCCGCGCCGCTGACCGCGCCCTCTGCGTCCCGCAGTGCTCGGTGACGTGCGGGGAGGGCACGGAGAGCCGGCAGGTGCTGTGCCGCGCCGGGGACCGCTGCGAGGGCGAGCGCCCGGAGTCCGTCAGGGCCTGTAAACTCGCTGCCTGTGAGGGTAAGGAACAGCTGGAACGGCTGCGGTGGGGGGCACGGTTCCTCCCTGGAGGGCACAGGGCTCGCACACGGAGTGCAGCTTTCCTCTCGTGTTCGGCCCAGCAGCCTCAGCATGTCACAGCTCTGGGTCTGTCCTGTACAAGTGCTCACACAGGGTCTAACCACGCTGGCCCAGCTGGGGCCAGAGGTGAAGGTCAGTTCAAAACAAACCCTGCTTGACCTCTAAATCCCAGGGTAAGTCCTGCAAGCTGCCAAGTGAGGGAATAAAAATACATAAACGTGGAACCAAGAGGTTCCTGGGAATCCATTACATTGTTCTCATAGAAATTTGCACAGGTTTTGAAGCTTATGCATTTCTTCCTTTGGGTTATTCCCTCTGTAGGATTTGGGGTTTATTGGGGTTTTAACTCCCTCGTGGTGGCCCTGGCACTGCTCAGGAGCTGGTAGGAAAAGCTGGAACTGGAGAAGCATAACCCCAAACCTCCACACTGTGAGAGGGGTTGTGGAATCTAAACCAGCACAAATGGATACTCCAAAATGAGCCATGAGAGGACAGGAGCAAGCAGGGGTCACTGTCACTAGGGTAAGGCACAAGGAATTGTATCTCTAGCCCAGAATTCCAGCTGAGCCTGGGATACAGTGCCTCGTGGAGCACAGCTATTCCCGTGCAGAGCTGCTGCTTTGACACATTTCCCAGGAGCCAGCAAGGGTTCTGAGGAAGCTCAGCAGGACCAGGACAAGGACATGTCTATATTCCATAGGATTTGCTATTTATAACCCTTATGCCCCAGCCCCAGGGGTGTCCTTGTGGGGTATTTTACTGAGTTCCTTGGAAGGGAGCTGATTCTCGTCCACTCTGAGCTCGGGCTCCAGCTGATGTTTTAAAGCAGGAGAAGGAGGTGGCTGGATGTGCTTCCAGCCCATGGTGAGGCAGCCCCTGTGCCCAGGTGAGGACATCTTTCCCTGCAGAAAGCTGATTTTGGTTCAAAGCTTCCAGAAGAGCTTCTGGAAGTTCTTTTTCCTGAGGAAGGGGATGCAAATCACTGCCCTCAGGGCACCTCAGTTGTGACCCACTGTTACAGCTTTTCATCAGTGCCACAGTTCCGTTTGGTCCCTGAAAAACACCAAACATAGTCTGAACAGAACTTCATCTGACTCTAACATTTTATTTTAAGGCGTCTCTGAGGGCTATTGCAATTTCTGGAAGGGATGATTGCCTTGGCTTTAATGCTGCTGATGGATGATGTCCTCTCAGGCTGGAATTTGGGGTGGGAGGGACGTACCCAGCGTGTGTGGGAGCTCTGCGAGGTCGGCACTGGGAATTGCTATCTGTGCTCCTCTAAAAACACCGTGTGCCAACAATTCCCAAGTGCCCATCAGTGGGTTCCCATCCCTGGCACATTTGTTTTCCAGATGAGCCCTGCCTGGGAGACAAGTCCATCTTCTGCCAGATGGAAGTGCTGGCCCGATACTGCTCCATCCCTGGCTACCACAGGCTGTGCTGCGAGTCCTGCGGCCGGCGAAGCGGCGGCTTCCCGGCACCCGGAGGGGCTGGCTCCGAGGGGGACGCGGCCCTGGATCCGGGCGGCCCGCCGAGGGCTCCGCCGGCGCCCACGCCCGCGGTGCCCGCCCGGGCCCCGCTGCTGCCCGGGAGCAGCTCTCCGAGCCGGCTGCCTCGGGAAGCGCGGCAGGCCGAGCGGCGCGCGGCGTCCAGCGCCGAGCCCGGAGGTGCCGGCGTTCCGCACTGGAGAGCCCCCGTGGCTGCCGAGACTTCGAGGCTCTTGGCTTTCCTGCAGCGGTCCCCTGCCAACGGCAGCGGCCTCGGCCCCGGCAGCGCCCCGGCGCCGGCTCTGCCTCCGGCCAGGACCTCCGGGAAGGGTGAGGGGCGCGAAGGGAAGCGATGGCCCCCGAGGGCCGCCCCGGTGGAGCGATGAGCGGGAAGGCTTGTGCGGGACAGGGCTGTTCGGCACTCCGTGTGACTCCCCGACCTCCGGACGCCGCGGAGCGCGCCGCGTGCCCCGGGCAGGGCACCGCAGGGCACGGGTCGTCCCCTGTAAATACGAAGGACAAGAAGTGCTGGTTCACTTTCTGGTGCTCCCGGCCTCCTCCCACCCCTCCTTCCCTGGCCGGCTGGGACACGCAGAGGAAGCACTACAGGAACTTTCCTGGCAGTGAGTGGGAGTCGCTCCGTCCAGCTCTGGGCCCAAAAGTTAGCCCTAACCTCAGCAGCCCTGTGGTTTTGGGATCTGAACGCCCTCATTGCAGGAAATGCCCCGCTGCGGGCAGGACCAGGCATGGAACCCGACGGGACACTTGTCCCAGAAAGAACGAACCCTCAGGACTCGTGCCTCCCTGGAAACGGGCGTTGCGCGAGCACCACCGCGGCTGTTGGGTAAATGCAGGAAAGCAGCATCCTTGTAAGAGTTTTGTGCTGTCCCACAAATGCTTTCCTGTATTGTTCCAGTGCCAGGTGCCGGCCGGCAAGTTCTGCCCTATGAGGATTCCAAGGGCTGGCGTTTAAAGCAGTTTCAAGGTGGATTTCAAGGTGTGAGAGATATTTATATTTCCAGCGTGGATCAGCTCCAGACCTCCCCACCCGCGGCGCATCCGACTGCAAGAATTAATTTATGTTCATCCCCACCTTGTCCCAGCCCAGCCGGCCGCGCTCTGCCCGGCACGGCGCTGTAAAGTACTTGTGTATAGGAGTGAGAACTGCAGATATTTATTAAAAGTGGGTTTCTTGACAGTATTTTGTGTGCTAAATATTTACTGGGGGAGAAGGGACAGAGACAGGGGAAATAAGGGGGGACAAGGGGGACAGGGGACAGACAGGAGGGACCTAGGAGGGAGGGAGATGGGGGATAACGGAGAGACACAGGGAGATGACCCCACCCCGATCGCGGCCCCGCCGCATCGCCCCGTCCCCGGTGCGGTCCCCCAGGTCAGCCCCCGACAGGGCCGGCCCCGCCGCCCCGGAGCGCGCTCTTGTCCTGTGTCTCCCCGCGCCGCCGGGGCAGAGCCCGGCCCGGCTCCCCCGGCCGTGCCCGGGGCCCTGCGGAGCAGCGGTGCCGGGCCGAGCCGCTCCGCGGGGCCTCCACCGGAGCCTGCCCCTCCTGGCTCGCCGCCTGCTCCGGTTTTCCCATGCCCGCTGCCTGCCTCTTGGAACAGGTGAGAGCTGTCCGAGCGCTGCGCGCGTCCCCGGGAGCCAGGGAGCTGCAAAGCCTCCAGAGGCACCGAGCTGCCCCACGAGAGCTGAGGGGCACGGAGGTGGCTCCCCGTGCGCGGGGCACAATCCCGGAATAAAACCATTCGGATTGGGAAAGACCCCCGAGATTGATCCCGGTCAGCTCCTGACCCTTCCTTCTCCCCTTAGCTTGGTGATTGAGTTCCAGTTCCCGCAGCGGTACCAACCCCGGGGCTGTGCACATCCCAAAAGCAGCCGCAGCCCAGCGCTCCCCGAGGCGCCTTCGCCTCCAAGAGCTGCCCCGGGAGAGCCCGGGCTGGCACGGTGTGCAGCAGGGATGCGGGGATCCCGGGAGAGCCCGGGGCTGGCACGGTGTGCAGCAGGGATGCGGGGATCCCGGGAGAGCCCGGGCTGGCACGGTGTGCAGCAGGGATGCGGGGATCCCGGGAGAGCTGGGGCTGGCACGGTGTGCAGCAGGGATCCCGGGAGAGCTGGGGCTGTGCCAGCAGGGATGCAGGGATCCCGGGAGAGCCCGGGGCTGGCACGGTGTGCAGCAGGGATCCCGGGAGAGCCCGGGGCTGTGCCAGGGATGCAGGGTCCAGTGGGCACACAGCTGTGCGCACTCCTAGCGCTGCCGCAGCCAGAGAGGCTCCCATCCATGGCTGCCGTTTCCCTGAGCCCTCCCATGGTTATTCCTGGCCAAAGACACGTTCAGAAAGCCAGGCAGATCATGGCAAGTCTCAGCCCAGAAAGCAGAGGCTTTGTGGAGAAGCCCAGGCACAGTGGCCTCATCCTGGCTGTGCGCAGGCGACAGGAGGTGGACAGAGATGCTGTGCCACCCCCAGGACCTTCTGGCTGCTCTCCACATCCAACCACTCCCCCAGGTATCCCAAAATATCCTTCAGTAGGTCCAACACCAGGGTGTCAGGGAGCCCCAAACTCATTCTGGGATCTCAATTTAATCAGACAAGACTTGGCACACGAAGAGGGAAAACAGACATGCACTCTCCCATAAATGCATAAAGTTACTTTATTTTCAGTATACATTTATTTAATTTTGAAAAATATAAATGCTAAAATATCTCATCATCTTCATCTTTTGATTCCATAAAAGTCACAATAGAAAGCTTCATAAAACTGTAAAATACTATAATGTTATAAGGAATTTCATTTTTTATATTATTGGAAAAAAAAATCACTTTAATATGTTTGAAATGTTTTCTGCTTTTCTCCTTTTAGTTCCACCATCCGATCCACTTCACTTCATCCCAAGTCCTTGCTCTCTCCTCCAAAGACAACAGGGACTTGGGAGAATTAAAAACAAGAATAAAAGTATCTGAAAGTGCGACTTGATTCCGATGGAGACGGGAAGGGGCAGCGGCCCCGAGGCCGGGGCTGGCACGGAGCTGGGAGCTGGCATTTGCTGGGCAGGGTCGGTGTCCCCACTTATTCCCTGAAGAGCCCCCCCAGGATTTTCTGCCAAAACACCTAAATTGGATTGCAAGGACGTTCCAGTTGTTCTCCGAGGCGTGTGGCCCGCAGAGAGCCCTTCCCTGTCCCTGCAGCTCCTCCCTGCCACGGGAGGCGGGTGTTCCTCAGGCAGAGCCAGCCCTCTGTCCCTCAGCACACCACAGAAAGCACAACACGAGGAGGGAGAAAGATCTGGAACAGCGGTCAGGACGCTTCAAGGGTATTTAACACGGTTCAGAAGGGGAGGCCTGATTTTTGGGGAGACAGGTCACCAGGCAGCAGCAGATGGAAGCTGTGCCCATGGAACCGACCGGGACAGCCCCTGGTGGCACCTCTCCTCTGGGATTGCTGCACAGCACGGGCTGGGCAGGACGGGCAGCAATCCCACGGCAGCTCCTGTGTATCCAGCCTGTGTCCCCTGGGTGCCAGGACTGCTGTTCTCCTTCTCCAAGGGATGGAGAGCACTGGCCACAGCTGGCATCGCTCTTCCCAAGTTGCCTGTGCTCCAGCAGCAGAAGGATCCCAGAGCTGCTCCTCTTCAGGCCTTTCCCAAGTGTCCCCAGCATTTTCAGAGCAGGTTTCAGCTGGGCTCCTGGGATACCCAGCACAGATTCCATGGAAACTGAAGGGGAGACCCCTGGAGGGCGAGCAGGGCTGTAGGGAGGCGGCGGCTCCTGCGTGGGAGCAGATGCTAAAATTTGGCATTTAAGGTCTCAGCACCATCAGAAAATCCTCTTGACTTCACCAACCCAGACTTTGGTTTCACAAGGACCGAGTGGCAGCATGTGCCCATCCTCTGTGACGGGATTGTCTCCATCAGGGAATTCGCCTCGAGAGCTGGGATGCTTTTTCTTCTTCTTCTGTTTTCTATTTTTGGACGAAGCTTTTAGTGTGTTCCCCGTGTCCTGGTGAAGCCCAAACGTGCCTGCAGATGCACACTCCAGCATGAACATGCTACAGAGAGAAAAACCTCTCTCCTGATGGGATGTCCACCCCAAAATCCTGGGATGCCCGTGCCTGGCCTGCTTAGCCTTGCTGCTCTGCCGGGTGTGGGGCCAAGGTTTAGGGTAAGCTCTGTAGGTGGGATGCAGGAGGATGGGGATGTCTGTGAATCCCAGGGTCAGGATGGACATCCCAGCAGGCCACCTTCATCTTCCTCCTGGAGCACTGTGCCCGAGGCACACCTGGGGTCTTCACACCGGTGCTCCAACAAAGTCATGGAGGGATCCCAGGTCAGAAATCAGCAACAGGGATATAACCAGCACCTGTCCATACAGACTCTTCCAAGATCACAAGAGGTGTAAGGTTTCTTTCACAGCAGGGACTGCTCATGACAAAAACTCCAAAAGCCAACTCAACCCTAAGAAGAACAGATGCTTCGGAGCAGGAGGTGTTACTTGAACTGATCCAGCCCTATGCCACGTCCTGGAGATTGTGGTGTGATGTCGTGGGTTTCTTTTTTGTAAAAATCACATTATATATGGTACAATACATTTTTTACAGAAAGCCTGGCATCTAGAAATAAGAGGTAGAACTACTCATAACTATATGTTTCCTGCTGCAGGAAAAAAATTCATTTTTCTTTACAGTAATTAAAAAAAGGTTAAAAAAATTGTCAAAAAAAAAAAAAAAAAGTCGTAGGTTAGGCCCCCATAATTTAAACAAAATAATCTAGGAAAATAACACTCTTCCATGTACCTGACGGATTAAGTCCATTAAAGTGTTTCTTTAAAAAAAAATTGCATAGGAAAGGGACATTCCAAACATGCTACAGCGATGGCAACGGTCTGTCTGTGCCGGGAGTGAAGTACCTTCTCTTCTATCTACAGGTGAGAGCACGTGAGGGTTAGCAGCACGTTCCAGCAGGATCTGGGAGCAGCCAAGGAGCAGCCTGGAGCTCAGCTCTGTCCTGCCAGACAGGGCTGACAGCAGCCAGTGCCTCTGGTGCTCCTGCAGGGACATTCCCAGTCCCGGGCAGGGACATTCCCAGTCCCGGGCAGCCCAGCACGGAGGGGCAGCGGGGGCTCGGTTACCTTGGCCGGGGGGAGCAGGGAGCTTCTGAACATTTGGCTAGTGACAGAATGAATTCGTAAAAGATCAGACAGACAGACAAATTACAAAGTAGTTTCTGTTCCCTTGCTCCTCCAGAAATAACCATTGTCTTCAGGCTCAAGTTCTATTCTAATTTGAGGCACAACTTTTACTGGAGTTCGTGGAGGGCTGCAAAGGAGAAGACAGACAAGGTCAGAGCAGCACAGATGCTGGGCTTTGGGAATATACAGCCAGGTTTAAGGTCAGGCCCACACACAGATAATCTGAATGAGCTGGTCTCAGCACTGCTTGGACACTTCCAGGGTGGAGCATCCTGGTGTTCCACCCCAGGCTGTGCCACTGGAATAATCCGGGCATGGCCGCTGGGATGAATTTCAGTGCCTGTCTAACAGCTGCAAGCACAGACACATCTCTGGCATTCCAGAGGGATAAACCTGCCCTGCTCCACACCACAGTCCTGGTGCTGGGAGGCCCAAGCTGGCCCCAAGGGGCTGGTCTCTCAGCAATTATTACTTGCTGCAGTTTGAGATTATTCTTTGTTAAAGATTATTCATTATTTTCAAACACAGATATGGAAAAATGGATTACTTTCCTTTGGCACCAACCCTCTGGGCTCCTCCCAGTGCCCCCACGTGTTTCTCCTGGTCTGATTCCCAATGCAGTCCTCATGCAGCAGCCAGGAGGCCAGTGGAGCCTCCAGGTCTCCCAGGTTCTCCACTGCCCATCCCAAGCGCTGCCAGGGGCTGGAGTAACTATGGAATCACCTTGTCCCTGATCACCTTGGGAAGCAGCCACCCAGGTGGGGCAGGTGGCTGTGATCCTTGGGGAGCAGAGGTGCATTTGTGGGTGCTTACCTTGGCATGGCGTGTGGTTGAAGGAAGGGAATTGTATCAGCACGATGTGTGGCGTTCGAGGAATGTTGGTGACTTTTCTCCTGGGGGAAGAAAGCCTCGGTGTCACTGCTGCCTCCAGCCCTGCCTCAGCTCCTCCAACCCACAGCCATGGGCCAAGCTCTCCTCCTGCCAGCTGCCTGATGGATTGAGCAAACACTCCATTCCCTCCTCTGCAGGTAAAGTGCCACCAGCCCCGTCAGGCCTGACACTTACCTGGCACCTGCCCTGGCACAGCCCAGCTCCCTGGGAGAAACTTCTCTCTCCTGACCCTTGGGAGGCATCTTCTCTGGGAATAAAGCCCTATTCCTGCTCTTGCTGCAGCACAGCCAGTGGTAGGGGTGCTGTCAGGAATGTGCTCTGGATCACAGAGTTACACCTTCAAGCACAATCCCACGGTGCTGCTGCATTCCAGGTTGGTTTGGGTTTTGTTATTCCAGTGGCCTGGTATGTTTTAATTTTTATTGTGCATTGGTTTTAATTAGAAACCAGCAAATAAAATACTGGATTACAAAAATGGATAAATAGACAAACCAACCACAGCTCAGCCCACGGCTGATTTTCTCTGTTCCCTCTCCAAGGGCATCCCAAAAACCAGGCTGATGGCACAAGCACCTTTCCCTTAACTATTTTATCCCTTAGGATGCTGGAAAAAAAGGCAACTGATCCTAAAATCCTGAGTAACAATATTTAGGTTGCAGTTTGGTTTTGGTATCAGGAATGTACTCAAACCATGGAATGAGGAGGATGAGGTTGCCTGTGGCTGATTTTGGATGACATGCTGACATCAGCAAAACACTGAGGATATCCAAACAGCCAAGAAAATGCCTCCTTTCCAATGGTTTTATTTTATAATCCCAATCTCTGAGTGTTTTTGTATCTAAAAGCCCCAGGGTAAGGTTTACCACTCCCTGGGGTCTCTACATGCTACCAAAAGGAAAGGAACCTGGCTCCCAGCTCCTAAGACCTATGGATAATTTAAGGATCTCAAGATCTGGGATCTAGGTCCTGCTCCTAGGCAGCAGCACTAATTTATTTGGTTTATACTTCTCCCCTCCCACCTGAGAAGAAAAGGGCATATGACACCCTTAGTATGTTAAAAAGCCACCCCCAAAGGCAAAGCCACCAAGGTCAGCTGTGATTCCTCACTTAAAAGAGGAAAATGTAAAGTGGGAATGACTGAAAATAAAGATTAAATTCAACAATTACAGCTATTAACATCAGAAATGAAAACCTATAAGAAGAGCACAAGCACCTAAGAAGGGAAATGTGTTAATGGCCAACTGATCTCTGCCTGTGCAGCTTAATGACACAAATAAATAATTACTCTGTTAAATGCTGATTTTTGCAACTGCTTGGCACCTAAGGGAACAAACAGTGACAGGACAGCGCTGCAAATCCAGAACACCAGTGGAAAAAAAAAATAAATCCCACTATCAGCAGGTTAACACCAAGGGGGAGAGGGAGAAGGAGAGGAAGAGAGAGTGGGTGGCCAGGAGACCTGTCAGGAGCTGGAGAAAAGCACTTAAACTGGAGGCACCAGAAGGAACAACACTGATTTTGTAACCAGCAAAGGGAAAAAAAACCAAAAGCTCACAAAAGCAAATTCTGTCATAAAGCAGGGGCCTGGAAATTAAAAAGGAGAGGGGAAAGAAAAAAGAACAAGAGAATACTTCTGAAGTAAAAGGAAAGATTAATTTTTTTAAAAATAACTTTAAATATACAGAGATATATTTTGGTAGTGCAAGTCAGAGTCAAGCAGGCATGCAAGAGCTTAGTTCTACTCACTGTCAGCAGGTTTGCTATCACTTAGGAAAGGTTCCTGCTCCATGATGTCCATTGGTATTTTAATACTTGGGACTTTTTCTGAGTAGGGGCAGTCAGACTGTGAAAGAAATGTGTAAAAGGTCTTAGAATATTCCCACTGCTCTCTCTCTCATCATCTCCCACACATTCAAATTATCCTTCACATAGTTCTGTAGGAACAGGTAAAAGAAAAGAGAAGAGAAAAGCATCCTCCAGCTTAGCTGCCACATGGACTGATTCCACTTGTTCCCCACTGCATCCCACTTCCCTTCATTACCTTCACATTCCAAAAATAAAACAGAAAAGAGCCATCTTGTGGCACTGTAAATTGCAATTCATCTCCTCCTTCCCCACCCCACCGCTCAGAAGACACCAGCCCATTGTGCCTGGAGTCAGCTGCAGGAAACAGAGATGGAAAATGCATTTGTGGGCAGACACAGCAGGGCCCTGGCTGCTGGGAAAGCTCCTCCAAAGCCTTTTATCCTGCTGGGATTCTTGTAAAAGCCCCTGCTTGTTCCCAACTGCTCTACAGGGCCCAGATATGACATGGCAGAGGCTCCTTACATCAGACTGGCTCAGCAAGTGGAGTCAAACCCAGTCCCAGTTACACCTCTGGTTCCTCAATTCCAGAGCCCCTGGAAGAATTCTGCAAGCCTGGCCCAGCCAGAGAAGCAGCAGGCAGCTCAGGAGGGGGCACAGGGAAAAGCTGGGGTCCCCCAGAGCTGGGGCACCACCAGGTTTCACACCCCTGCCTTCCATCACCCACCTGCTTATTAGGAGGTGCTGGGAATTGTTTGGCTTTTTGAAAAACAAAGGGAACTCCTCATAGCCAAGGAAAGGCTGTTTCTGCCTAACTTGGCAGAGGCAGGAAGGTGGGATTTGCCAGAAACGTTGGGACATCTTTGTTCCTGAAGAGAAGCAGACCCACAACACCAGGGTGGAGGGAGGAGACCTTCCAGTCAGGGCAGGAAAACACTAAGGAGGCCAGAGACTGGCTCTCCCTGGATTGTTATTCTTATTTTTCATTTATTTTTTGACATAACTGATATCCAGTGCCTTATTTTGTACTCCAACATCAAGATGTTTCCTTGGGACTATTTTTATGAGGCTGAGGGACAAGCATAACTCAAATAAAGCACAAGCAACACCCAGCAATTCCCTTGGCTGAACTCTGATCCATGCATTGCCCCCCAGATCCCACAGGATTAACTCTGGGGGTGGATATTTCTGGAAGGGAAAGTGTGAAAATAATCCAACCAGTAGTGCCCAGTGCTGTATGTTCAGGAAGCTGGTAAAAGCAAGTGCTGAAAAAAACCAGCAGGAGTTAAGAACCAATATTTTGCGTAAAATGTCTTAGCCATTAGATTAATTATTGTACCTGGAATTCAGGAAAAGCCTGGGAAGAGAGGAAATATCTTAAAGCATACAGGAGAGAGGGAAGCCATGGCTTGGGATGGATTCACAGCAGCCAGGAGGAGGGGATGGAGCCAAACCTTTGCTGATTACTCAGCAGGGCCTCTTTACTCTCATTTGGGTTTGCCCAGAGGTGCTAAAGACAACCCTGGGAGCTGGAGCAGGACAGGGCAGATGTTGGCTGAACTCAAAGGCAATCCTCCCAGCCGTTTTTCCTGCTGTGCTAAAATGGGATTCTCTTCCAGCTCCAGGAGACCTTCCCTCTCCCTACAGCCCATGCAGCAAGGCCCTTCTTCATGGACATGAGCAGAAGAAGTGACACCATGCCTAGAACTCACCACGGAGCGCGTTTAGCACTTCAACATCAATTTAAAGGATTTGAGTCAGACCTGAGCAGGAGAACACTGGAAGGCACCAAGACTACATTTCTTCTTCTTATAGATACAGGAGGAAAGAGAACAGTCAAAGGCACATCAGTCTGGTCTAGCCAGGTCACTTTTCACTATTTAGGGCATGCTGCCACCTGAGGGAGGACCAGAGTGTACTGCAGAGGGCAGGGATGCTCAGGAAACATGTAGGTGGTGAGTTTTACCAACACCAAGCAGTTTTTCCTGCAGTATCACAAATCACATCTATTTTGTGCTTTCCAAAAGAGCCATTACAAAAATGTTTTTAAAAGACAACCAGTAGGACCAGAGCTGCTGGTGAAAAGCATCCTCCTCCTAAAATGTAAGAGACAACGAAGGGGAGAAAGGCGTGGGAGGGAAGCAGGGTGACAAGAGGCATTCCAGCAAGGGGCATGACATCTCAGCAGGTACCTGGTGCTCTTGGGAAGTGTGACTTCACCCCTAGCAATGCACCCACCACAGGCTGGAAAAGGGAAGGCAGTGTAGGAATTAAGTTTCCCTTGGGACCCGTGTGTTGCAGCTCCACAAGTGGCTGGCAAACTTCCAGCCTCAGCACTGGGCAGGGCTGTGGGGGGGGTTAGCTACCTAGGAAGGAGCAATGTGACAAATGAGGAAGCTCCTTACATCATCATTGTCACTGTCCATGCTGCCCTTCTTCTTTTTCTTCTTCTTCTCATCCTCTTTCTTCTTCTTGTCCTTTTCTGGAATGACGTCGTCAAGAAAGCTTAAGTCATGCTGGGAAAAGAGGTAGTCCATGGCTTTTCTGACTGCCACCAGGGCCAAGATCTGCAAAGGCAGAGAGGGATTCCCAGTCACATTTTACCTTTCACTTGGCACACTGCATTCCTCTCAGCTCTGCTTCTAAGCACACACTCTTGAATTCTTGCTGTAAATGAGCACACAAAGAAGGTGGTGAACACCTGGGACATCTCTGTCAGCTTCAGAGGTTGTGCTGTGACTGCCTCATGTCATACAAAAAATCAGAAGCAGTGGATACTCCTGTATATAATACTGCTGTATTAGGAAATAAATAGCAAAACAAATGAGCACTTTCATTTACTTTTGGAGGCAGGTTCACAGGACAGCCTGAGTAATAAAACCCAGACTTATTTCTCACCACTTGCCCAGCTGAACTCTTAAGAAATCACACAAGTGGCAGTCCACGCCCCCAGAGTTTGCAGAATAAAGTTTACTGGGGTTGTGGCAGCAGGAAACTGGAGGAAAAGCTTGTTCTGGGCAAGGCTGCAACGAAAGCACTGGGAAAAAAGGAAGGGATGTGTCTGAAACGGGCGCTGACACCGATGCTGGGTCTGACAGCCCCAGCAGAGATCCCACACAGGCCTTGCCCGTGGGTACAGCAACAGGCTGGAAGCTGTAACCTATTCCCAACAGGCTGCCTTTCAGGACAACTCTGTGCCAGGCAATCATGATCCACAGCACAAACAATTCCCAGGAAAAGGTCTCGAGCTCTGACTTGCGTAAGCTACGACGCGGTTTCGGACGTGAGGAACTCCTCAGGGGTGGAGGGACGCCACGCAGACACCCTGACATCCCACTATGAATTACTGTGCTGAAAATGCCTTTCCTCCAAATAAACAGGGACTTGGCCCCGGCTGAACCCTCACAACACTGAAGTTTGCAGTTTTGTGCTCCTGAGTGCAGGAAATGGAGCTTTTGCCATCCTATCCAGCTCCATCGAAGCTGTGGCTGCGCCTTCCCTGAGTCTGCACCGTTCCAACAAACTCTGTCAGCCTCGGGTTTCACTCAGATTCTAACAGGGACAAAGAGATTTCAGATTCAGCTTCCAGCATCAGTGCAGCACAGCCATGGAGTTGATGGAATGCCACATCAGTGGGAATTACTGATTTTTAACATCTTTCACAGGAGCATGCGTCTCAGCAGGAACATTTGGAGGATTTTTTAACTGGCATCATGGTTCCCCATTGCACCATCTTGTTCTTTACCTAGGTTCTGCCCTCCCTCCTCCTCTCCCTTAAATAAGCACTGCAGCTCCTACCCTGCCCCCACAACTCAGATTTTACTTGTCCATAAACCTGAAATTAGGTGACCTGGGCCCAAGATTTATTCAGGAGTTTCCTAAAGCTTTGCCTTTGCACAAGTCAGACTCATCTCCAAGCCAGAGTGCCAGGCTGTGTCTATAGACCTAGTAATAATATGAATAATCACCCACAGATGGTAAACAACATTAGTGTCTTTCCACTTGAGTCCAAGGAAAAGAGACATTTCCTTTCCCTCCCTTTGGCACCTCTCTTAGCATTAAGCCTCCTTCTTGGCTTTGTCCATTTGTGCTGTTGAGTTACCAAGGAGACATTTTTTTTTTGCACCTGGTACCTAGCATGGACTAAACCAGAAAAACTCTGCCCCTCTCCTTGGTTCATGCAGCTCAAGGAGAAACCACAGCAAATCTAACCTCGGCAGCCAGGAATGGTCAACACTAACTACACCTTCCTGGGAAAAAAATTCACTTTCCAGGCTGTTTTCCTCCAGAGGATTTAAGGAAAGGCAGCCACGGCCACACTGAGCCCGAGCAGTCCTACATGAGTGTTGTGAGAGGAGCTGTGAGGCAGGGGCTGGCCAGGGAGAGGCTGGGTTTACACACTCACAGGAGTGTAGGAGCAGGGAAGGAGCAGCCTGTGGGGAAAGGCAGGGCTGTGAAGGACAGCATCACCTACCATGACAGGGAATATGATAGCAGCCACGGTGGATTTGAGGATCCAGAGGAGGGCCAGGCACACCACTTGCAGGAAGGTGAAGAGGTGGACCCTGCGCAGCGGGACGTGGCGCAGGTAGATGAAGTCAGGCTGGTGTTTTAGAGGCATCAAGAGCAGCTTCAGCCGATCCATGAACTGGGAAAGAAAACGGAGAAATGTTGAAATGAAACCCGGGATGCACAAAAACGAGAGAAAACAAGAAATGAATGCCCAAACCAGGGTCAGCACCACACTCTGGGGCATTTTTGCTGTCCTCCCCTTCCCTGCTCCTGCCAAGGAAAGACATTCAGCCTTTAGGAACAATGCTTTTGTTTTCCCCAAATAAATCAGGAGCAGAGGTCAACAGAGGTGAGGGCAGACAGAAAACAGAACAGCACCTCGCTGAAGAGCAAGGAAGACGGGCAGCTTTCCCAGCAGTGCCCCTCTGCCCTGTGCCAGACCGCATGGACTTGGAGTTCAATCAAAATGGGGATTTCTCACGGAGTAAAAAACACTGTTGATCCCAGTCCCCCCACCACCTGGGTCTGGAGCAGGGGAAATCCCCTCCAGGAGAGCCAGCCCGGGGCAGCAGGACAATCCCCTCGCTGTCCCCTGCCCGAGCATGGGCTCACTGCCCACTGCGGGAGCAGACAGAACCTGACCCAGTGAATGGAACTGCAGCTGATTTCCAGAATGCCAGAGGGAATTCTGGGGCTCACAGAACAGGCAGTTCCTTCCCCTCAGGGCACAACCCGGCACGAAAAAGAAAGGCCACAATTAACAGGGTGCCAGAAAGCAACAAAACCACTTCCAGCCTCCTTGGGCCAGCTACAGGCGCTGGGCATGAGAATGGCTCCTTATGTAAGATTTCCTCAATGACAAAGAGAGGGGAGTGGCTTCCCCTCCCTGGAGAACAATGTCCCTGCTCCTTAGCATGGAGGAACACCCCTGCTGCCATACATCATCCTCCTTCCCTGCCTTCAGTCTGCAGCACAGCACCCGAAATACCCTGGGAGTGAGCCTGAGCTGGGCAGAAGCCTGTACAATCCTGGAATGGTTTGGGTTGGAAGGGATCCTAAGGGGATCCTATTGTTCCACCCTCTTCCACCAGACCAGGCTGCTCCAAGCCCCATCCTGGTTGCCAGAGATGGACCCAGGTCCTCACAAAGCACCCCTGGCACCGCCAGTGCCCACCTGGCCACTGTCCCGGACACAGGACACCCGGCTTGTGACAAAGTTTGCCAACAGCTGCCACCCTTCGTGGGCTTCCTGGGAAGGAAGAGGAGGCAGCGAAGGAGAAGGGTGAAGCTGGAGGGCTGTGGAAGGAGCCCTGTGCTGGCTGAGGACTCACCTGCACGCCGTTGAGGGATGCCACTCCCATGTAGAGGAAGACACCGTAGAGCACGGGCATGGGAATGAACTGCGGGACAAGAAGAGCAGGAGAGCCCAGGTGAGAACCTCCCCGGACACCACGCACCATTAACACACTGTGGGACAACATTCCCAGCCTGTCAGCAACCCAAACTGCACCCACGGGTGGATGACATGGAGGAACAAAGCCACGGAAGTAATAAAGCAAAATAGAGCTGAATAAACAAGAAATCCTCCTGCTGTGCTCTGAGGGACGCAAGGACATTTGTGCAATCACGCTCTCCCGCTTCACCAGGACTTGGACATCTTGTCAAGAAGCAGAGGGAATGATGCCAGTCACTCAGCAAGTCAAGGAACAGGTGGGCAAACGTGCTCCAGTGAGCTTCAAAGTGCCTTCCACCTCTGACTGGTGGTGTCACTGGAAGCAGAAGGCAGAGAAGAAGAAAAGGCAGCACGATCCTGTAGTTTGTGGTACACACTCTTTTCCCAGGTAACAGGTGACAAAACAAGAGGAAAATAACTCAAGTTGTGCCAGGAGAAGTTTAGGTAGGACATTAGGAAAACACTTTCATAGAAGGGGTTGTCAAGCCCTGGCACAGGCTTTCCAGGGCAGTGCTGGAGTTGCCATCTCTGCAGGAATTTAAAAGCAGCACTTGGGGACATGGTTTAGTGGTGACTTTGGCAGTGCTGGTGGAACTGGGTGATCTTAGGGAGCTTTTCCAATTGAAACAATCCTGTGATTCCATGTCCAACCCAGCTCAGTAAGCCATGCAAGTCCCTGCAGAAAGGATGTTCTTTGGAGTCCCACCTGAGCAACAAGAGCCATGCCAACCCAATCTCTGCCTGCTCCGTTTCTCACACATATTAATCCAGAATTACTCCCAAATACAGGACTGACTTCCCTTCTTTGCCATGATGTGTCCTTTCAAACACCACTTTCTGCTCCCTCCAAGTGCTGAGTGCTGTCCCCACCTCCACATGGGGCACATCTCCCTTTGGGAGTGAGGAAGGTGCAGGGGAGCAGCAGACAGGCTCCCTGGAATGAGTCTCTGTCCCTCACCAGAGAGGTGGGCAGCCAGCCTGGCACGACAGGAACAGGGATGCTTGGAACAAACCAGAGGCAGGGGCTGAATACCAGCCTCTGTGGGATTTACTGGTGCCCAGGGAGGGTGGAATGAGCTCCAAAGGATAGTCCCTAGTGCAGTGCCAGGGGACTGCCACTGAATGGCAGCCACGGCCAGGGCATGGCACCCACTGCTCCCAGCACTCCTGCTGGGAACCCTCCCCTTCCAAGCCCTGCCCTGAGCTCTTCAGAGAGGCAAACAATACGGCAGCTTATCCAGGGTCTTAGCACATTCCCCATCACCTTGCTCAGCGCTTCCAGCAGGCATTTCCCTGGGGGCACATGAGCACCAAAGGCACCCAGCCATATGCTAGCCAAATGAAATGCCTGCATTTCTCCTTCCTCCCTGAGTCTCACTGCCTGTCCCCTCCTGCGAGCTCCTGAACTGCTAACTCATCCTTCTCTTGGATTTATTTGCTCCATCGAGGGAGCCACGCTGCTATTTCCCATCTGAAGGTAAATGCTTTTTCTGCAGTGTGGGCTCTGCCAACACCTCTGCTGTGACAGGGATGGGGACCTGGCAGGGGCTTCACAGAGCTGTGGGTGACCATGGGATTCAAAGCCCTCCCTGGACCTGAGGGATGACACACGACACAGTGCAGCAAGCAAGAGCTGAGCTTGCCAGCTCATTTTCACCGCTCTCCTCTCCTGCCCTTCTGTTTATTTCCATGGGGTTTTTTTTAAAGTAAGAAAAATGTGTGAATATTATTTCAGCATTCCATGATGATGAGTCCTGCAGATCATCCCGAGGTGAAACCTCAGTACCTCACTTAGCCTGCGGAGCAGCAAGCGGTGCTGTCATTTTGGAAGGCTTTCTCTTGGCAGAGCATTCCCTAACGATGGGGGTGCTGGCTTTGGCACTCCAAGCAAAGTTGGTTGCTGCAAGCCAACAGGACTGAAACTGTATTTATAGGAAAGTGCCTGTCACCCTCCTAGCAGGGCCAAGGATGTTTCTGTGGAGATCTGCCTTGGCTGAGCAGAAACAACACCACCATCCAAAACCAGCACAGCCACCGCAAAGCCCTCAGCAAACAAAGCCGGGATTATTCCCTGGATTGCCTGGTTTATTAAATTCGGGATTGTCAGCGTTCAATTTGCCCCTGGCAGGAGAAGACAGAAATGTTCTGCAATGCATTTAGCAGCGCAGCTCTCTCCAGCAGGACCCTGCCACTGGAATTTGCTAAAGGTCCTGATATCCTGCCAGGTCCCTCCCGCTGGCACGTGGGCCAGCAGCATGCTGGCTTATCCTCAGGTGTCCTCCAGCCAGGATCTTCCCCACACATTGTCTTAGGGGAAGCACAGACAAATAATTAATGACTACAGCAATAACAGGGGAAGTAACAGACCCCAGTGGAATAGAGGAAGAGGGATCTTGCAGGGAAAGCTCACGTAAACTAAAAAACAACAGGTTTTCCAGTTTCCTTCTACAAGCTGATGATCCATTTCTCCATGGCTACACGCCACCAAATCTCTGGTCTTGGAAAACAGCAACCTACCTAGATGCAATGGTCCATCAGCAGCACATCTGTCCAGAGCCTTGGCTAAACTTACAGGAAAAAAGGGTTCAGGAGATGAAGAAATGCCATTTAATTGCACTGCTTCCTCCAGAAACATGTTTTCCATGCTCTGAGCTTTATCCAGAATATGTTTTCCATAAAGAAAAGGCCCAGTAGAGGTATAAAAGAAATCATAAAAGAAAAGGGAACTTAACTTTATGCAAACATGGAGAAATAACCTTAAAAGGAAAAAGACCACAGTGCCCAAGAACCTCAGCCCTGACCTTGGTGACTGTTCTAGCACACTACAACCATGCTGGTGTTTCCTTCCAGAAGTTTTGGATTCAAGCCTTCAGAGAACTGTGAACAGTCCTTACCTTCAGGATGGGAGCCATGAAGACAGACACCCCGGTCAGGATGAAAACGATGACACCAGTGACTCTCTGCTCCCTGAAACAACAGCACTGAGTCAGGTCCACAAGCACTGAACACCAACAGGAATCCTCAAAACTCATTTTTGCAGCCACATTTTCCATCCAACAGCCTCAGGCAGGTGGCTGGACCCTGAGCCACATCTCTGTTTTAACCCAGAGAGTTTTGTAACGCCGTTGGGGGATCAGCACAGCACTGCAGCTGAGCCTGGGGCTCACATTCAACCACCACAAACAGAGTGGCAGCTCCCAGCTCCCTGCCCAGGGCGTGCAGAAGGCACTAAATCATCAGCTCTCCACGCTGAGATCAGTAACACAGCATCAGCCCTGCCCAGAGCACCCCGACAGCAGGATAAACCATTCAGACCTTCCTGGGGTGCTCAGCACGTGCCTTCAGCAGCACCCACAGGGCTTCCCACACCCAAAAATACCTCTGCCAGTCATGTTTCAGAAGGCTGAAAGTCAGGCCATAAAATTTCCACTTAGTTACCTAAATAAGCAGGAGTAATCCCATTGGAAGCACTTCAGACCACTTAATGAAGGCATCCAAACACATGAAAAAGATGCTTCATTAAGGAGAGCTGCTTGCATTAGGTATGAGTTTTGTATGTTTGATTTGCTAAGGAATTTGCTTAATTTCCCTGGATAGAGAAGTCTGCAGGAAACTTATTTCCTTTAACACAGGAACACTGTGTCTGATGTGGCCAAGTAAACTTTGGAGGAGCCACGTGGGGGCTCACCCAAGGAACTGCCTTTGGAAACAGGGAGAAGGCAGCACAAAATTCTTTGCACAAAAGGATTTTGCAGGCAAACGAGGTAATTGGGCCTTCCTGGTTGGACATACCTTACTCCCAAAAACTTGGGCTGCTCTCCAGGGGCTGAGGTCTCTGTCTCCATCTTCAGGCTGTCGATGTGAGCGATGGAGATGACGGTGGCAGCCACGTACCAGGGCAGCCCCATAAAGGAGCAGACAATCATCAGAATGGCCACCCAGAACAAATCCAGGTGATATCCAGCACCTTTCTGTGGAGGGAGACAAACAACCTTCAGCTTAATTATTCCAAATGCCTCCGGAGCAGGGCAGAGGCACACCAGACAGGCAGGATTTCCTTCTGCAGCATCCTGGCCAACAGAGCCAAACACCAGAAATACATGGGAAGAGCACATGGAAGCATCTCCCTTGGGACACAACCCCAGGCTCCTTCAGGAGTGCAACAAGAACAGCTGAAGCCTCATTCCCTACCCAAAGGAGAAAGCTGCCCTTGTTCTTGACTCCTTTTCAAACACCTCTGATCCTCTATTTTTAAAATCTTTTAATGAAATAAAACAGGAATTCCAGCAGCCAAGAGATGAAGAGAAGAAACAAAAGAGCCACCAAGAAAAGGGATCTTCAGAAAAACAGCGGACAAACCTCTAAGGTTTGCTATTTTAAAACAGATTAACCTTTTTAAAATCCCATTCAGTTTGATTTTATTGGAAAAAACAAATGATCCAGGCCTGGGATGACCCAGGAGGGAGGGCAATCCAGCTTCTCTTGAATAGTCCTCACTGTTTTCCTGACACGTGCACTGCTTACCTTGGCTGGCCGGTGCCACCGGGATGGGCACCCAGCAATACCCTGCCAACACTCCAGCAAGGGATGAGCAGAAAAAAACACCTTTTTTCCTATAGCAGATCTTGTGTATAGAAGTGTTTTTTGGTGTGGAACAACAAGATGGGGCTTGTGAACCCTCAATTCCACAAAATACCATATTCACATCATAAACAAAGGAAGCAGGGAATACATTTTTTTTACATCAAACAGTACTTTGCTGGAGTGTTTATAATTTGTTACTAAAAATGTACAGCCAGTGCTGACAGCAAAACCACATTCAGTGGTTCATAAGCTGCAGAGATGAGGGGCCCCTTCCGAATCATGAGGGAAGAACAGTGAATATTTTCTTACAGTGTTGAAGAAAATGCTATGTCTGCTTGGTTAGGTGCAAGAGACAGACCTAAAACTGCTCAGCCATCTCTGAGGAACACGAGGGCCCAGTATTGAGTTTATCTGCCCAGATCCAGGTGGCAAACAAGGATGTTCTGAGGGGTTGTTTTTAAACCATCAGCCAGCAGCCATCACTGTGCCTAAGAAACCTCTCCCATCCCCTGGTACTTCAACTCTCTCCTCCAGGCTGGGCTCAGGATGGCCTTAAGTTACACATTACTTGTCTCATGTTTACAGTGACCACATGAACTGAAACATCCTCCTCTTTTCCAAGCAGAAGTTCCCATCCCATTTCCAACAGCTCTCCCCATAACTGATAAAGCAGGTATCTGAATAATGACCCACCACTGCTGGTGTTTTGAGGGAGCCATCACTCCCCTCAAGTGGGTCAGACCACTTGAAACATGCCCTGTTAGCAGGAAGGGAGAGTCTTCTTTCACAGGAATTTAATATTTTTCAATAGAACTGACCATGCAGGGGAATGGAAAAAAGCCCTACAGGCATGAAAAACTGCATATCACTGGTCTGGAAAGTTTGTTTTAGAAACATGCCTACATCTCAGGCTGTTACATATCAGCTCTTCTTTAAATAACATCCAACTGATTTGGTATGTCCCAAATCTCTCCAGCTTATTGCTGGTATTTGACAGCACCGTGCAGCTTTGCCCACAAAGCCACTTTTCCTGCTTAGAAACAGCAGCCAGTGCCAGGGACCAGGCTCGTGTCCATGGGGGAGGAAGGTGCAGGAGGAAAAGCCCCTGCATGTGCCCACCCACCTTGAGCTTGTGCTCCTTCCTGTTGACGATGACGGCGGTGATCTGCTGGTCCATGAAGATGAGGATGGTCACCAGCAGGGCAGGGATGGCTGCTGCCAGGTACACCCACCACGGGTTCCCTCCAAAAGGTGGGATAAACCAACCCCTCTCGGGACTGGTTGGCTTTGAAGGGCAAGGGAAAGAAAGCTTGTGTTAGAGGCACAGTACAGGGGTGATGACATCCCAAAGGCACGTTTGCTTCCAGCAGTGGAGTTCCAGGGAGACGCTTCAGGCTGGTGGCAATTTCATCCTTCCCATTAACACCAATCAAAGGCTCCCAGTATGGAGGCAGAATTTAGGAGATAAACCAGCCAATTAAAATGATGCTAACAAAAAGCATCCTAACCCTAAGCCTCTGAGTAAAGAGGCTCTTTCCAGACTGCTGACTACATTCCCATTCTGAGGGCAAGCCATTCCCTACGGGGCACGTGCGAGGGAAAAGGAACCTCTTCCAAAAGCCAGCAAACAAGCTGACAACAACATACCTTGAATTCACTTGGCACAATTAGTTTTGGTGTGTCCACACCGACCAGGGCATCTATTCCACAGAAGATCAAAATGGACAGGATAATGGCAAAGTCACTGATGAGCTTCCGGGCCTGCAAGAGACGCGGTACCACAGCCACAGGAGTTAGCACCGCGGAACACCGTGTCACCCACGCTTCAGTGGCCACAGCACAAACCCTGCCAAGGCCAGCTCATCATTTCTTCTCCCACCATCATGTCCAGTGTCATCTGCCACACATGCCTTGGTACTTTACTGTGTTCTCTGAAAGCCTAAATGGAAGCACGGAAACAACACAAACTTCCACAAATGAGATACTCTGAAGGACTGCCAGAGATTACATTGTTTGCTGTTCAAGTAATAAGTCAAACTAGGCAGACAGAACAACAAACCAGGCTTCTCAGCTAAATCCCTAAGACTGCAGCTGTCCTGAAGTCACTGGAATACAACAACTTGGAGCTGCCACTGATCAGACCCCAGAATTTAACCAGACAGGAGCCACTGCGCTGGAACTGTGAGAGCTCTCCAGAGCTGCTGTTCCTTCCAGGTTTCCTGCGTTCACATGGTTACAGATAAATTGAGCTGCATTCCAGCCCGGATGGAATTTGTTTCCTTTCTATTAAAAATAAGAGAGGTTCAATTGTAACACAGTGGAACAGTAAACATCCATGCAGGATAAATCCCTGTGTGTCTGAATGCCAGGAACGGGGCAGCCCCAGAGAAATGGCTTTGGCTCGCACGCCTGGCCCGGGAGCCTCACCAGGGGACAAAACAAGCAGATGCACCCAAGGCATGCCTGAAGGCTTGGAAGGGTTGCCTTCAGCACCTTTAAAACCCCTGCCACATTACCCAAACAGGTTACAGCTCCTCTTGGCTCTTCTGCTGCCTTACCTGTGCTCTCCAGAACCACTGGGAGCAATCCCAGGCATACCTCTGATAACCAGATCCAAGCAAGGCTCTGAGCTGTGCCCTCACAAAGACTGATGGGGTGACAGGAGATACTTACAGTGGTGGGAAAGTAGCGACTGGTCTTGAATTTCTTCAGGGCCATGGAGCAGGTGTAAGTGCCGAAGAAGAGGATGAAAGACATGAGGGTGATGTCAGGGACATAGTCACAGTTGTTGCCCACAAGCTGACCCCCGTACTTCAAGCAGTCCTTGGCTGTCAGAGCTGCCCAGTCAATGGTGGTGTTGGCCTGCAGGAAAAAAGGGAATGTTTCCATAAGGCACACTCAGCCCATGGTGGGACAGGAATGGTGACAGAGTATCTGAGAGGAACAGGGAGCATCATGCAGAAGGTAAAATCATGGAAGCGCAGAATGGTTTGGGTGAGACCATTTTCCTGCCGTGTTTGACTAAAAGGGGTTGTTACTCTGTGCCTCAGCTTCCTTCCCCCACACATGGATGTGATCCCTCTAGCTCCACTTCCTTCTCCTCACTATCCAGAGCTGGCCAGCAGAGTGGCACCACAAGATCTGCAGGCCATGTGATCCCTGCCTTCCCAAGGGGAACTCACCAGCTCAGAGGAGGGAGAGACCAGCTCATAGTCTGACAGCACCATTGTCCTGTTAAGTAATGAGCTATTAACTGCAAAAGAAAAGAAAAAAGGCAATATGGTGAGCAGGATGCAGGAAACAGTTAGGAAGGAGAGCCAATTCCAATTATTAAATAATTTCTTGACTCTGTCAAGCTGTTTGCCACCTCTTTGCTCCTGAAAAGTGAGTCACAAGTGTTTTAGAGAGACTCAAAAGCCTCAATCATCAATCACTCACACAACAGAAAAAAAAAAGGTTAAGTGAAAACATAACCCAAACCCAACTGGAATTATATTTGGAGTTGATGGTAAAAAAAAACCACGAAAAACCAGACAGACAATATAATATTTCATAGCTTTCCAATATTTTCCTAATGATCTCTGGATTAAATTAAATACCCACAGAGCACTCCTAATGATTAATTTCAAATGCAAGCACAACGCCAAAGATATCCAGAAAAGCAGAATGCGATTCAGTGTCCAGCATAAACACAGTTTTGAATTAAAAGAAAGAAAAAGGAGAGCAAGAAATTGAAATCAACAGGATGGGGATAATTTCTTTGAAAGAAGGAGCAGCATTCCCCGTGGCTTCTGAAGCATTAGGAATCAGGAATTTGAAATTTCATTTAGAAATGCAATCCTTCCTGCAAATGGGCTCGTGGCCCCTGTCCTCATGGCTGACTGAGGTTTTGCATAAATAAACTTTTTTCACTTGGATGTCTGGAGGGCCACAAGTGGAGACTTCCAGTTTGGCACTGACCATTCCCCATCATCCTAGTTTCAAAAAGGAACTCACTCTGCCATTCCAGTGGGAGGCAGAACCAGACTGGGACCCAGCCCCAGCTCCTGACACCCGCCAGGAGCAGCCAGCAGCTTTTCCTGTTGGACAGGTGTGCCAGATAACCTGCAGTTTACTCTGGGCACACATCAGGTTTCTTACTCACTCCCATTGTTTGTGGGATCCTAGGAGTGGCCCCCGCTTCCCTAATGGTACAGCCAGCGTCTCCCAGTTTGGATTTGGGTTTTGTCACCCTTTGTTCCCAGAGCCATAGGTCCACTGGCTCTATCAGCCGTGCAGCCCACGCTCCAGAGATAGGCTGCCCTGGGGATACACTTCCCTTCTTGGACGGGAAGGAATTGTTTGTGCTTTCCCTCTCATCCGTGCAGCCAGGAGGTGGGAACCACCCATGTTTGGGTAACACCTTGAATAAATCCAGCTCCTGAGACAGGAGTGGCCTGAGCTCCATGGCAGCGACCTGGCCACCACTGCTGCCCCTTCATGGAGTTCTCGGAGGAATGCCATTTGGAACAGGGATGCAAAAACAGCTTCTCCACTGGACATGATGCGCTCTGGAGGAGTTCCAGCAAGGCCAGCTGTTCTGTGACATGTAGGTGTAGAAGAAGTGATTACAGGTGACTTTGCACCTGAGAAGTCACAGTTGTGCTAATTACCAAAGGAGAGGAACAGCCTTGTCCTTAATGGGTCACAGCTGTGACTAATAAAGATAAGTGGCACAAAAGGGGTGGGTTGGCCGCTCAGGGGTAGGAGGACCCCTGAGGAAGAAGGAATAACCCTCAAGAACTAGAGGATGGACGAAATAAGGAAGAGAGTTGCTGCTGAAAGAGATCTGTGGTTAGGTTTGCAAGGGGGCTGCAGTGGGAGCCTGCTGCTGGAGCCTACAGTCACATTCCAGCAGGAACAGCCTGCAGAGTCTGCAAACGAATACCAGCAGTCACAGTCGAGCAGGAATTAGCTGCAGTCAGAGTCTGCCAGGGAAGCCAACAGCAGGAGCTTGCTGCAGTCAGTCAGGATGGCTCAGTTGTAGAGAAGAATCAACTGGGACCCTTTTCAAGTCTGTGTCTTGGCTCATTTCTACCCATAAGGAGACGTCCACTGCAACAGTGACATTCCACTTGGGATGAAATTTACCTCTCGGCTTCCTGAGACTAAGACAGGATATCTGAAGGCAACTGATAAAGAAGGAATAATCGACCTATTATCTGGGCTGCAGCACAAGGGAAAAGGAGAGCAAAGGCCACCTCCTATCTACAAACTGGAGAGGTAATGAACACTCCCTTACCTGGATCTAGTGGTTTACAGGCACAAGAGTAATGAGTGATATAGTCCACCTTGAACTGGGAGTTGATGGGATAATGATCTGCCAGCTTGATCATCTTCTTGAAAGCATCATAAATGAAGATGAAGCTGATCAGGGAGGAAAATCCTTCTTCGGTGAAGCGGGTGAAGTACTTGACCAGGAAGCTGGCGTCGGTGGCCACGAGAATGAGACACTGGAAGGCTGACCAGAGGCCGATCCAGAGGCGGAACTCCAGGTAGTCAAAGTCATTGTCCCTGCAACAAGACAAGGGTGGCAAGAATGGAAAACACTGCGTTAGATACGATCAGGAAAGCAGATGTTACATGGAATGAAGCTGAGTCAGGGAAAGTTGAATCACAGAGCCACCAGCCTGGAAGTGACCTTCAAGATCATCGAGGCCAGCACAGGCCCAACACCTCAGCTAGACCCTGGCACCCAGTGCCACATCCAGGCTTTGTTAAACACATCCAGGGATGGTGCCCCAGGCAAACCATTCCAGTACTTTATCATCCTTTCTGTAAAAATCTTTCTCCTAATATCCAGCCTGTATTTCCCTTGGTGCAGCTTAAGATGAATCCTCTGGTTCTGTCAGTGCTGCCTGGAGAAAGAGACCAACCCCACCTGACCACAGCCACCTTCCAGAGAGTTGTACAGAGTGATAAGGTCACCTCTGAGCCTCATTTTCCTCCAGGCTAAACACCCCCAGCTCCCTCAGTCGTTCCTCTCAGGGTTTGTGTTCCAAGCCCCTCACCAGCCTCGTTGCCCTCTCTGGATGGGCTCAAGGGCCTCAATGTCCTTCCCAAACTGAGGGGCCAGAGCTGGACACAGCACTCCAGGTGTGACCGACCAGTGCCAAGTACAGGGGCTGGCTGAATGACTCCCTGCTCCTGCTGGCCACACCATTCGTGACCCAGGCCAGGAGCCATTGGCCTTCTTGGCCACCAGGGCACACTGCTGGAGCATGTCCAGTCACTGCTGACCAGTGCCCCCAGGTCCCTTTGTGCCTGGGCACTGTGCAGCCACACCGTCCCCAGCCTATGGCACTGCAGGGGGTTGCTGTGGCCAAAATGCAGGACTGGGCACTTGGACTTATTAGACTTCATCTTACTGCCCATCCATCCAACTGCTCCAGGTCTCTCTGCAGAGCCCTCCTACCTTCCAACAGATTGACTGAGATTGGACATAAAGGAAAGATCTTCTCCCAGAGTGTGGCTGGACATTGGAACAATCTCACCAGGGAAGCAGTCATGGCACCTAACCTGCTGGAGTTCAAAGAGCATCTGGACAGTGCTCTTAGTCACATGGATTAGTTTTAGGTAGCCTTGCCAGGTGCAGAGAGCTGGACTTGGTGATCCTTATGGGTCCTTTCCAACCTGGGATATTCTGTGACAAACCCTGGTGTTGGGAACAGCAGGGGATGGAGAATCATGCACCCAGCTGCATCGTTCCCACCTGGGAATGATGGCCTCCCTTGTTTGCTGCCTGAGGCTGAGGTGCTGTGCTGGCACAGAGTCCAAAGGTGGGCTTTTAGGAGTGAAAAAGTGCCAAAAGGGAGCACGGAGCAGATGAGGAAGGCCACTGCCTGTGGGGAAGGAAGCAAGAGGTGGTGGGACTGGCAGGCTCAGCCAGCTGTAATTCTCTGGAAGCCAGAAGCCCTGACCTGGAAGAGGGCAAGGAGCAAGTAAGAAACAAAGTGATTTAGAAAAAGAGAAGGGAAAAAATAAAAATACAAGACCCAAGTGACAACTCTGAAATACCCGGGGTCAGTGCCCGAGGTGGCAGGAGGTGCCATCCATCTGAAGGCAGCTGGCAGAAACCCAGACTCCACACCACTGAAGAACTCCAGAAGTGTTAAACTGTATTATTTTTTACTCCTCAAATTGCTGCAGCACTCCTGAAGCTGACAGAGCAGGGGGGAAAGCGCCGCGTCCTGCAGGATTGGGGCCGGTGCCAGCGGCACGGAGCACCCGAGGCCACACACACAGCTGGGTCTGCAAGGGGTTCTCAGGGACCTTTCCAGACACACACACACACAGTCACACTTCTCATCAGTCAGGGGATGGGAGGTTTTTCTGCTTTTGCTCCTAGCAGGGAACAGCGTGTTGTGAAAATGAGCAAAGTACTCAGTTCCAATTTCCTTGTAAGAAAGGCCCCCTTTGAAAAGTCCTGCCTTTCTGCTCTGGCAGGTTGTTAGGACAATGGCTTTTAGAACTGCCACCTTCTCCCTCCCAAAACAGTACAAAGTGCTTTTCCATCTTGCTTTTTTCCTGCTGCATGCTGCACCTGGGCTTTGTCACGCCTGCCAGACACCAACAGGTGCAGTGTGTCCATTCCTGACTCCATTCATTGATTCCAGATGAGGGAAGAAAAGAAAGGTGCCTCCCTCTTGCTCCTCTGTGTAACTCTCACCCTTTGGTAGCTTCCAGTTTTCCTCCCTGGGATAATCTAACTTTCCAGCCATTTTTTCTAGCTCCCATCCCTCCCTACATGTAGGAATACAAGTCCTGCCATGCTGAGAACACAGACTATAAGGGATTTGGGGTGTATTTTGTGTAACCTAAGATTATCTCCTTGCAAAACACGAGCCAAGGGTCACCAGCCCCACGGATGAAATCATCCATGACACTGCTGATTCCTTTGGGGATTCCAGTGTATCTTCCTGGTATTGCAGATGTGGGAATGGTACATGAGCACACCTAACAAAATGGCTCCCTTTAGCTCTGGGTGTCAGCTGTCAACAATGTGGAGGAAGCAGAACTTCTTCACACCAGTTAAATGGAAAAAAAATACAGGACATTTCCTTTAAAAGCAGGAAAGCTCCCCTGTGGAATTCTGGGGCCTGTTTCTACCACAGACACTTCTGCTTTCATAGACAGTAGTGATTATTTCAAACGACTACTGGACACATTTTTGGCAACCTTGAGACCCATGGGATTCTGTTGGCAAAGAGTGGGATTCATTTCCTTGCTCCTATGGGAGTCAGAGAAGCAGTGACTGGGGGACAAGCAGCACACTGCAACCAGAGCAAATTCCTCACGGAGCACTGAAGTGGCCAGGGTTGGGTTTTTTTGCAGGAGGCCCCACAGAGCCAGGTTGGGTTTTTTTCCAGGAGGCCCCACAGAGACAGGTTGGGTTTTTTTGCAGGAGGCCCCACAGAGCCAGGTTGGGTTTTTTTCCAGGAGGCCCCACAGAGACAGGCAGCACACACGGGCAGCGCCCCGGGACACGCGTGCCGGGCAAATCCCCGACGCGATTGCGCCGGATCTCTGCAAGAACGGGACGTTCCATGTTGTGCACTAAATCCCCTCCTTCCCCAGCAGCAGGCAGCTCATTCCCTGGCTGGGGTTTGCTTCGTGTGGGACATTCCTGCCCTCCGCCCTCTCCCGCCACGGGTACTCACTTGCTGAAATTGAAGAGGAGCCGCTCAAAGACCAGGACGGGTCCGGTGCTGCTCAGAATGGTGAGGGGCTGGCCAGCCAAAAGGCAAAACACAGCACCGGTGACAGCGGTGCCCAGGAAGCTCTCCAGCACGCCCTGGGGACACAGGAGAGCAGTCACCCTCTCTGAAGGAGCCCTCGTGTCACGGCTGCGTGCTGCACGTCCCCGTGACCAAGGGGACAGCACCCTCTGCCCCCTGTGGCTGTCACCAAGGTGCTGGTCCCACACAAGCCAGAGTTACTGGGGATAACCACGTGTGATTAACGTGAGTGATTACCGGCACAGGCTGATCCTCCCTTCTGCCCATGCTGCAGGGATGGGGCTGCAGCTCTCCTGCAAGAACTGAAATCCAGTTTTGTGTCTCTACTCCTTTAGAAGACACGAGTTAGTGTTTGCACTGAGGAAAGCACAGGCTGGCCTCTGGGGGACTTGTAAGGATGAGCCCAATAATCCCAGGGCAAGGAACAGGCTTCACAGCTGATCCCCTCCACTCCTCTTGTATTACTCACGGAGAGGGCCCTCGTGGCCAGAGCATCTGGAATCTCTTTTCCCTGCGTTCTTCCATGTTTCTATAGCTAAGAATAGTGTCTTTTCTCAGAAACAGAAAACTCAGGAGCGAGCTGTGAAGGCAGTGCTGGCTGGGGCAGCTCCCAGGACAGGGAGCAGGGATGGGCCATGCTCAGTGCCTGCCCCAGCAACAGCCACATCACCGTTTACAACAAACAAGACACACAAACTGTGATGCAGCAGCCTCAAAAATACTGCTCTCTGGGGGTTTTTTGTTACTTGACAGTAAGTATTCTTGAGACTTCTGGCCACAGTGAAGTGATTCTCAATCCAAACTGGATTTGGAATCAGGTTACATTTCCCCTTCCTCCTGTAATGTAAAGACTGCACCTTGTGCAGAGCAGACAGGCTTTGCTCTGCTACCCCACGACAGTCCAGTGCTGCTCACTGGTGGGACCTGGAGGCCTTTCCACTCCTGACTTCCATGAGTCTCAGAAAAGGCAAACTGTACAGGAGGGAGGGGAGCTGGGCACTGCACAGGCTGCTGGATCTTACTCCAGCCTGTAATTTATCACAGGAGAGTGCAGGGTTCCAGATATGTGCCCTCATTTCCTCTGTCTGACTTAATTAAACCTGCATAAATTAATAATTCAGTCATTATCATTATGAGCTTGATTATTGCTAGGAGATTTGACTGAACTGGACTGGCTGAACTGAATATATCTAAATACAAGCTCCTGGTTTCCCTATTATTCCACTAACACAAAGCACCTACAGCACTGTTAATAGGGAATCCCTTCTCTTTGGCCTGAGCTAAGCCATTGATCCAGTCTGTCCGTGGATATGTGGCTGGTTCTCAGCTTGTGCCCTCCCACTACTATAAAATTCATCTTTCTAAAGACCTGACATTTCTCTCTGTATTACTCATTTTCCTAATTATTTTGGGATTTTCTTTTCACCAGAGAGGCCAAAGCCCAGGCATTGTAGGAATCAGGCAGAGGATTCAGAGTTAGCACACTGAATTGGACTGAAATGGTACAACTGAGAGCAGATCAGAGGAGCTTCTCTCTGCAGAAGAAGCAAAGACCTTCTCTGTCTCTTGGGCCTGCTTTTATTCACCCTTTAAGGAACTGCTGTACCAGCTGTCAAGGGACAGCCACAGCAGCAGAGAAAGCAGTGAAAACACAGAACACCTCCATTATTGCACCAAGAATTCCAGCTTTGCCAGTGCAAAGAGAGAGCAAAAGACAAATGCTGGATTTGTTGGCTCTGAAAGCTCTTGCCCACCTGCATGTTCTCCGTAGCATCTCCAAGCAATCCCCCAAAAGTGATGGCATTGGTGACAGTGGCCAGGTAGATGAAGAGGATGGCTGAGAGGGCCTGGATGTTTAAAGCGTCGTAGAAGTCGCTGGCGAAGAACGGCGCTTTCCTCTTGATGTCTTTGATCAAACCCCCGCAGAATCTGCAGGGACAAGCAAGAGGAGACTCATGCAAGATGTTTGACAGTGCAAGTCATCACGCTAAGCCATCAGAGACACTGATAGCCATGAAGTATTATCTCAAAGGAGTGAGAGCACCATGTTACAAACAGTCTTGTCACGGCTGTGGCGGTCCAGGGGTCTCAGAGAGAATGTTTTGAATATCTCAAATATGTGAGCCAGATGGAAAGGGACAAATTTCAGGACTACAAGCCATGCTTCTGCTGAAACAGACCACCACAGTTTGTATTTCAGGAAGCTCATCTGTTGGTTTTTTTCCCCCCAAATATATTAGTTGATGTAATAAAATAGATTAGCTCTGCTCTAAGTCCCTGCCTGAATTTCTCCACATAGCAGACACCATGGCTGGGTGAGCCAAACAATCTGCTGCATGGAAAAATGCTTCCAATTAACTGCCAGCAAAAGAACTAGAAATAAAAACATAAGGGAAATACTCTTGGATGACAAAAGAGCTCACTTGCAGACATCCCTTTCTGTATGATCACAGACAAGACAGCACTTAAATCTTATAAACTCCACGTGGCACTGACACTGGCAGCACGAAAAATGTTTGTTCAGCCTCTTGTTCCCCTGCCCACAGCTGCCCACCTCTGCCAGGACTGCACAGACACTGTGGCAGACAGGCACATGCCACCTTGTGACCCCCAATCAGGACACTCCGCTGCCTTTTACACACCAAGGCATTGTGAAGACTTCCGGACTTTTCTCCTAGAATTTAGACTAGAACTAGAACTGAAAAAGAAGATTCAGCGTGGGAGGGAGGGCACAGAGCCTCCATGAAGCCCTGTGCACTGATCTTGAAACACTCAGCTCGCTGTTTTGTGGCCACCTGAGCTGTACTCCCACTCCAGTGGACTTTTACGTGGCACAAAGCAGAGTAATAAAGCAGAGAGCAGGGCTTGGGGCACTGTTACACTCTCTGTTTCTATCCCATAAAAGCCTTCAGCTGGGCAACCCAACTGCACCACTAACGTCCACAAAAGAGAACATCTCTGCTTTTGGCTAAGGCGCCCCTTCAGCAATCCAAAGGGATTAACTGAGGCTTGTAGCTGCCACGTTTATGTCCCCTGTGGTTCACCTGACTTCACAGGCTCCCAACAGGCAGCACCTGCCTGGCCCTTCTGTCCTGTTTAAGGGCTCTTTATCATTTACTGAGTGTCAGATCCTCGACGCCCTGCTGAAGCCGGATGTTCCGAACCCCTCAGCCAGCCACACTCCGAGCACAAAAAGCCGCCAGGACACATTCTGGGGTCACACCTCAGCCTGCACAGGCAGTCCACTGGGGTGGCACGTTTTGGCAAGGGAGGCCTTTGCGGGGGTGTCACCGACCTGCCCGTGCGCTGCAGCTCCTCGCAGTCGCCGTGGCCGCCGCCGCCGTGGCCGCCGTCGTGGGGCGTGTCGCCGTTCATCTGCACGTTCTCCCCGCCCGAGTACATGTTCTTCCTAGGCGAGGACACAGCACGTCACCAGGACCACGAGGAACCCCGAAGAGCCCGGCTAACTACCAGCTGTCATGGTGTGCCTACAACATCACCTCAAAAGGTACAGACTTCCAGGAACATCCTCCCTCCTGCCACTAAGGAAGGCCTGAAAATATCTCCAGGACTTTCTAAATAGTGGCAGCCAGGTGCAGGTCACTCCACACACCTGGCACAACCAGAACACAGGCCCACTGTCCTCGGCCACAGAGCCCCTCTCCTGCTACTCTTATCTGAAGAAGGGAGAGACTTGGGGGGCTCTATCCTAATGGCTGGATCCCATTCCCCAGGGGGGAGCACAATGACTTCATCCAGAAATTCATCGATGCCTGCGATCAGGTCCTGACGGTCCTTGGCTTTATAGGCAATGTCATGGAATACCTGCAAGGAAAAGAGACTCCCTGTGGGAAAGGTTTGCATTTTCTCTGGCCCTGACTCCACAAGCAGCTGCTGAGTTCTACAAAATCAACTTAATTCCTTCTCAGAAACCTCTGAGGAAGTATCAGGACATGTGGCACAAGGAGGTGTGACCCTCAGAAAGCCCCTTCCTTTGGCTGGATAACAACAGAGGTTCTTTCCTTTTAGGCATTTATCTAATTTTAAGCAAACCATCTATTTCTAACTTTTAAAAATGTTAGCAAAGCAATCATCTATATCTTTAGTGCAAAAAAGTTTTCCTCTACATAAGGACTTTCAATTACACTTGGAGAAGACACTTTGACAAAGCCACCTACTTCAGTCTATCAAACCCAGATTCATTTCCAACCCTGTGACACAGAACTGATGACAGGAGATACTCAAAATCAACATCATAAACTGGGTTTAGTGAAAGGCCTGGTATTAATCACGAAGAACAAATGAGAAAAGGAGGGGCGGGGAAAAAAGCATTAATGCTGAATTTTATAGGAATCTTCTGGACTGTGTGGAGAGCAGGTGGGTCAGTGCATGTGACAGAAGAGCTGGTGGCAGGAAGGGACTCTGGGGCTGTGGGGAGCAGACCACTGAGTGCCAGAAGGCAGGAGAGCTGGGGCAGCTGAGCTGTGATCAAGGAGCTGTAGGAGAGCGAGCAATGCCAAGAAGCAAAGCTGATGCCTCGGCACACAGGGCTCCAGGGACGCTGGAAAAGGGAGCTGTAAGGGAATCCTGAAAGCCCAGCTGCTCCTGGTTTACACATCAACACTGCCAGTGCCCAGGACACAGTGCCACACGTGGCACCACGTGGGGGAAACGGGCCGTGGGCAGCACCTGCATATCCCTGGCTGCGGGATACTGGGATGGCAGAATGGGACACAAGGAATCGATTCAACACAACGGACTAAATCCAACCATTAATTCACAGCTGATATGAAAGAGTGATCTCTAGCAGGAAAATAAACACGGCAGACAAACCCCTCCTGGAGTCACGCTTTTCAAAAACACAAAGCCAGAGGCAGTAATTATGTCAACGGATGGAATGAGGAGGTAACATGGATATTTCAGCTTTAAGTGAATGCTCCTTCCTGTTGAGCAGGCTGGAGGGAAGGACACTGTTGCTTGGGAGAACCATTTCCCACTGGAGATGCCAAGACACCTACCTCATCCGACATCAGCGTGGCAATGGCTCGGCCGATCTCATGATAGGACTTGGCTTTGCCCTTTGGTCCCAGCAGAATGAAGAGAAATCTGACAAAACCAAGAGATTGTTCCCGTTTAGGATGGAAAAATCAAGTGCTTATTACTTATACAACACCTGGACAGAAATTTGACCTGGAAAACTGTGGTCCTTGTTAGAGATCTGGAGGCTGTCTGTGGCCTCTAGCTACCTTTGGAGCAGAGGTTAGTCCCTGTGGCCCACGAAAACCTGTCCACCTTGACGGGGATCTGTTTCACAGAATCACAGAACAGTTTGTGTTGGAAAGGACCCTAAAGGCTATCTACACCTCTACTAGCCAGGCTCCTCCAAGCCCCGTCCAACCCAGCCTTGGACACTTCATTTTTCACATCATCTCTTTGGGCAGCAACGACATCCAAGTCACTGCTGAAGAGTCTGAAAAACACCATGATATGAAACCTTTGGAAGTGCAAACATACAGATGAAATAACCTCACCAGAAGCACCTATCCCCTTCCAAGGGCTGGATTAAATATTATTTGATCTACTAACTCAAATACGATGAGGTACTAAGTTAAATGGCTTATGAGGAGTATTATATCCAAACAAGTACTTTCTGTTCAAAAGAATCTAGAGTCCTAAAAGAAAAAAGGCAGCAATTTAGGAGGACAGGATCCATAAATACATATTGATTTGCATTACTACACAACACCTCTTAATCGAGTCCTTCACGAGGCGTGTGAGTGTTTTACTTGAGGTTCACAGGGAGGTGAGTAAGCCACACACACCCAGGTCATGTCCTCTGCTCTCCTCCCACCTCCTGGAACTTTCCCTGCTTTACCAGTTCTTATAAAATAACACTCAAGAAAAATTGTTCCTCAGCCAAGTCTTTCCAAACTCCAGGATGCAAATTGGCTAAGCATATTAACATTAAAAAAAAGAGGTTAGTAACTTCAGGAGTTGCTGCTTGGCATTCTACTGGTTTTCCAGGAGACTTCCATAACCCTCTTCTGCAATAATCCCAACCAGCTGGCTCTTTTCCAGCACAGAGCAACAGCACCTGAATGCTCCTGCACTCCTAAAACACTCCTGAAAACACAAGACTGTGGCATTTTCCACATTCTTTGTCCTAATTCAGCTCAGAACTGCCTTCAGTGGGTAGAACAAGATCTTCTCACGGGCCAGACAATACAAAGACAGAAACATTAATGCATTTTAGTGGCTGCAGCATTAACATGCAGACAGGACTCCGTTTCTTCATGCCCAATCTTTACTGTGTAGGTCATATTTTACAGGATTACCAGAAGGCACTGTGTCAGATCTTATTGGTGGGCAATACATTCACATTTAGTTTATTGGTTAGTACATGGTGTTTTGCATGTCTGTCAAACTCCTGTATTTATAGTTAGTTTACATGTTCTTTCTATGATTCCCATCAGACAGATCTTATTGTTTATGCAGGTGCTAGTTGTTTTTCACCTCAGAATAAGTTGTTGTGTTAACAAACATTTCATATTAAGATTGTTTTTGCATGGGAACTTAGCTGCACTTAGAAGAAATGTCAGGCTAGCTATAAATTTAACAGAGCAGTCCTTTCTAATTCTTCTACCTGTCTACAAGTAGCCTGAACTAGAGTATGTGTGCACAGATTTATAATAATTTAGTTATGAACATTTCCAGCTACAAAAGCCCTCACTCCATGCTGTGCCATACTCCTCCTCTTCCTCTGCTGAAGGCCACTTGAGAACTCCTCCCTGCTGCACACAACACATGCTGAGTTATCCAGTGCCCATTTCTGACACCTACCACTGCTAATAATGCTCCAGGGCAGGGAATGGGAGGTTCCACCAAGCTCAAAGTCTCTCAGAAGCCGTAACAAAATCCAATGTTTCTCTCAATGCTTTGCTAGAACAGCAACTCCATAAGGGCTGAAGGCACCTGACCAAAGGAATCTCAGCCAAGTCCTGGAGGAAAAGTGCCTTTGCAGTGAAAAGCCTCTGTCAGGAGGCCAGGGAGCAGCAGACTCCTGGATCTGCCCTCGCTTCCCAAGCACCTTGGGCAAGTTACCTCAGTTCATTTGAGACCTGCAGACACCGGCCTTTCCCAGCCCTGCACACCAGACTGTGCAAGTCTGTGCAGCTTATCTCCAAAAAACATCTTCTCCTGCCTCACTGCTCATCTTTCTCCCCATCTCCACTGCATCAAACAGCAGCCTTGAACGCAGGATTGTGCATTGCTCTGATGAAAATACAAAGCCATTCCCAAGCCATGTTGCCAGCTCAGGGCTTCCCCAAATGAGGAGTCCCAAGTACCGTGGGATTAAGTCTGACACAACAACACCAAAGGCCTTAAAGGTTTTTTTAATCTGACCAGTAAAAAGAAAACTCAGCAAAGGCTAGGATATCCCACTGACACAGGGAAGGGTTACATTGGATATTAGGAGGAAATTGTTCCCTGTGAGGGTGCTGAGGCCCTGGCACAGGCTGTCCACAGAAGTTGTGGCTGCCCCAGGATCCCTGGAAGTGTCCAAGGCCAGGCTGGACAGGGTCTGGAGCAACCTGGACTAGTGGAAGGTGTCCCTGCCCATGGCAGGGGGTTGGAATGGGACAGGCTTTGAGTTCCCTTTCCTTCCAACCCAAACCATTCCCTGCTTCTCTATCTGCAGCTCCTTAAGAGCAGGAAAACGTTCACCCCAGACAGCGGGGCTGGACTAGCCCTGAGCCAAAACCTGCTCGTATGTTTAACCCCCTCCTGCCCTACACAAAACCAACGAGAGAGGCACCCAGGTCACACTGGCAGTACTGCACCCCACAGTAGCCAACATTGGCTCCCATGATGTTGGAAACCCCAGGAGGCCACGCAGCGCCCACCTGGGACCGTGTGGCACCCGCAGTTTTCCCAGGGAATCAACAATTGAACCAAAGAAAAGGAGAGGCCCCACAGGACAGAAGGCTGGGCATGCCAGGGGCTCCAGCATCCTGCAGTCTGCGGGCTTTAAGTGCAGGCCCAGGGCAGGAATGCCAGCGGCACCGCAGATGTTCCATCACAGCTCCTCCTGGCCCTCAGGGGATTTCCTTGATTGAATTTCCTAGGATGCAGCCATGGCAAATGGCTCTTCATCACTCATGAAAGCCACCTAATGAGCCTTCCTGCTTTGATTAGGGCCAGCATTTGCTTTGGAGAACAGCAAATGGATAATACTATTTCCTGGGAAAAGTGCTGGCACGGAAGGACATAGTGCCTTGGTTATTGCTACTGAGTCATGAGGCTGTCCAGCAATCCTGGATCTAACTTCCTGGCTCCCACCACCACAGCAAACAACACCTCATCTTACAACTGCTGAAAAGAACTTGGAGACAGCTTTAAAAAACAGTCAGTGGGGTGAGAGTTGGAAGCTGAAGCACTGAAGCACACAGAGGCCAGGGATGTTGAGGAATGAATAACCTGCTACAGAATGAAGGCACATCTGGGTCCCCACACTCCCACCTGAATACCCAGCTGTGGATGTGGCTGCCAGAAACCACTTGATGGAACTCCAAGAAACACAAGCACTGCTACTAGCACTAAAGAGCAAAGCTAGATGCTCATTTCCCTTTGTTTGGTACACAGAGAGAGGCAAGGATTCCAACAGCCATCTAACTTCCACTCCATACAAGGGCTGTGATGCTGCTGTGAATTCACACAGGGCAGCTGAGACAGGCAGGCATACTCAAGCAGTGACTTCAAATATTTAAGAACACAAGATATATTGCTATTTCTGAGACTGAGATTAATTTGCAACATGAGTCATGATAAATAAAATATTTCTCTGACATTTTTCCTTGAGCCATTATGCATTACAAAGCAACAAGCCCCAGTAGAATTGTATGTCCAAGTTCACCTGATTTTTTTTTTTTTGCCCCAGGAGGGCCAGAATTGAATTTTCCATTTGATCTGAGCTGAAGAGGAATAATATGTACAGCAAAAATGCGCAGAGGGAATCTGGGATCTGTACAGAAGGGGCAGGAAAAAAGCCCCAGGACATAAATTCAACACTGACAGTGCCTGTTACTGCTGAGCTGTTAAGTCAGTGTGTTTGTGCAATGGTTTACTCATAACCAAATCCAGGACCTGAAGAGGATGAAGCACCTTCAGTGAGTTTTGTTACTCTGCACCACCAATCCTGACGGTTCTGCGTGTCACAACATGGAGAACATCTCCTGGCCTGCTGTTTTTCCTTTGCCAGGTGGAAATGCAGGCTCCCTGCGTGGTGCCCTGCCCGGGGCTGGGTTTCCTTACCGTGTGGGAACAGGGACCTCGGTGAGAGCTCCCAGCATGACCGCCTGCTGCAGCCGCACGAAGGCAATGAAGGGGCTCTCCAGGAAATCCACCTCCCCGACCAGCACGTTGGAGGCCTCAGCGTCACGAGGCAACTTCTTCATGAATTTATTCTTCAGCTGCAGCAGTGGAAGAGGAAGGAAAAGAAAATTAAGTCGCGTTGGGCGCCTTCTTCTCATCTCTGCACCTCTGTGCAGTAAGCGTGCACCCTGGGTCTGGATCCAGCCATGGAGAAATGCCATCACCAGGGAATGGGAAAAAACCACAGGAGCAGCCACGGGGTTCTCCAACTCAGCCTCTGCGAGACGCCTTTGTCTGAACTTCAGCGGCGGCAGAATTAATTTGGAATTGAAGGCTTTTGAAAGCCCTGCCCTCAGCTGGTTCCCAATCTGTCCCCTCTGCCTGGGTGATCTCTGGAGATGCTCTGTGTGTGCCTGGCAAAGGGTGAATGGACAGGGAGGATGTACTGCCAGGAGCAGCAGCGAGAGGGGGGCACTGAACTGGGCTGGAATCCCTAATGAGCTGCAGGAGGTGACTCGAGGAAGGAGGAAAATGGAAAAAGTCTCGAGAAAATACATGAACTGACTGAACAGGAAGAAAACTGCTGGAACTATCCTACCCCTGCACACTTCAATCAGGATTACCACCAGAAGAAACAGTAAATAAGCACCAAGGAGCACCATGGAGGAAGTCTGGAAAAGCCCTACCAGCTCCTCCACAGACAGTGTTTGGCGGCATGGCGGTGGCAAAAGAACAATGGGAAGATGGCAAATCCACAACAAACATTTTATTTACCTCACCAGGCTGGCCTTGTGGCTGAACAAGGATCATTCAGCAACCCCAGGGCTGGTCTGGACACCCAGCCCAAACCCAGGTGATACTCTGAGGCAGAACTGACCTGCAGGGTTTCCTGTGCCCACCCCACTCCTGAGGCCAAAGGCTCCAGCCCCTTCCCCCTGCCCAGCACAGCAAACCACTGCCACTAATTTTGTCACTAAGAGCTGCCATTATTTTGGGTTTTTTTCATCTCCAAATGAGTTTTGCAGCACCACTCACCACTTTCTTAAATCATTTATCAGACAGGTAATGAGTGCAGTCAGCACTTAAAATCCATTCTGAAGCATTCCCCAAAGAAGCTTTGGAAAGATCTGACTCCTCAGCAGCATGCAGGAACAAGGGAGAGATGAGGGAACTTCACTTTCCCCTGCCAAATTGAACATCATTCCAGCCCAACCACTAATGTTATGTTAAAAGCCACAGGTCTCCAGCAGTGCACTTGCAAAAAGGCACAGCAACCTCAGAATCCCAATTTCCTTAAAAGTACTGTAGCACTCGGATCATCAACACCACTCTGGACTGACTGGAAATGAAAGCAGCTCCTAAGTACACACTCCAAAGTAGCACTTAGGGAAGGTTAATTCCCCTGCAGCTTGAACCTGTCTCTGTCTCTCTTTTTTTTCTGTATCTGCTCACACACAGGATCACCTTCCCACAGCTTATCCCTTGAACACCTGCCTCCAGGGGAACCTTGCAGACTCCAGGCTGCTCCATCACCCAAGGATGCTCTAGAGGGCCACTGTGGATATGGAGAGAAACCAGGCAGGCAAAACTGCTCTCTGCATCAAAAAGAACAGCAAAAGTGAAGGAAATTCTGGTTAACTAAACTTTCTAGAAGCTTTTCCTTTCCTCCAGAAGGGTGGCACTGATTGTATTGTAAGAGTCATTTCCACTGGAGCTCCGTGGAGTGGAAGCATGTCACCCAGGCTGACAGACCTCCAAACTGGGAATGTCTGCTTGCAAGTGTGGGGATGAGAAGATGTTCCAACAGGAAAAGCAGCAATCACTCCCACAATCAATCACAGGACTGCATTCCCAAGGATGGGATCCAGCCAGCGCCTCCCTGTCCATGGGTCCCCAGGAAAGGCAGGAGGGCTTCTCTAAACAAGGCCAATTTCTTTTTTAACTTCAGTGCTGGCTTTGGCACAGATCCCCTGTTGACATGGAAACTCTGGGCTGAATACACAGTGTCTACACCACAACAAATAAGAAGGGTTTTGTGCCTGCCTCTGACTGACCGTATTCATTCAGAGCCAGGCTCGTCCCACATCCAAGCCCTCTGGAAACACAGATAACACCAGGTCAGGAAACTCCCCTTATATCAACATACATTCCCTTTCTTTATGCTGTTGCATCAGCTCAGGGATAGCAGGTCCCTGGGAAAACACATTTCCTTTCAGGTCCCCTTTATTTCACATGTTGAGCACTGAAGGAGTCCTGGTGGCTCAGCCACTCGGAGCTGCCAAGGACATTCTAACAGAGCACAGCCAAAGGATTTCTTGCAGGAGGAGAGACTGGAGTGGGAACAGCAGAAGGAACTTCCCCAACCTCCTATGGTCTGCTGGCACTATGGCACCAGAGGGGCTGAAAAAACATCTACCTGACTCTTTTCAGTCACTCTCCTTCACACATAAGCTGGAAAAAAAGAGTTTAAAATGGTTTTTTTTTTGATGAGATGTGGCTGCCCCATCCCTGGAAGTGTCCAAGGACAGGCTGGACAGGGGTTGGAGCAGCCTGGTCTAGTGGAAGGTGGTGGAATAGGATGATATTTAAGATCCCAGTCCATTCTGAGATTCTGGGATTCTATGAATAAGGTGCTAGTGAAAAATTTGATCCAACAACTTGACGTTCAGGAGCTGGAGGAATTCCCCAGCTGTGAGAGGCCCTGGTTTTATGGACACAGCTCCAGCACCACTGGTGTACCTGGCAACAGAGAGCTGGGAGCCAGGAGGGCAGGAAGTCCAGATGCTCATTTATTAGCTGCTATACAGAAAAGAAGAATAAATTGTCCCAAAATGCTGCTTGTCTCCCCAGCTGCAAACGCCCAGGGCATTAACTGCAGCCAACACCTCCTAAAACACGACAAATGAAGACAGATCAAATCCCTTCTCTGCACTGCTACCTCAGGAGCTTCTGCAGGATCCTGAGCCAGCCCCTTTTCAATCCCAGTGGATCCAGCCACCATTCCCATGGCAGAGAGAGCTGGCTGGTGCAAACTCCCTGATTCAGCAGGCCTGAGGAACACCCCTGAGCCAGGCAGAGCTGTCCCTGGCAGGAGGGATGAATCTTGGGAGGATTGATTCTCTGACAGATCACATCTCTGACGTGCGTGTGAAACCTGAACCTTTCAACATCCAGAGAAAAGGAGCAGGAATGCTGCAGATTAGAGGAGTATGCTGGCTATGAATTCCCTAGATTATTAGCTGCACCATTCCAAAGAGCACTAAAAGTTGCAGAACTGAATATTAAGCATGTAGGAAGACAGGAAAAATCACTGAAGGTACAAAGAAGTTTGGTCAAAGCATTTTTTCCTCTGAAACAGAGGCATGCAATCCTCTACCTGTGTAAAACCTGGGAGTGATTAAGGATGCAGGAAGGATGCAGGAAGGCAGTCCTGCTCCACACAACTGCTATAAACCGACCTCACCCCTCAGAGCTCTTACACACACAGAGAAATAAATAAAACCTGGGATGTTCTGTGGCTCCAGCAGACTCCCCCCTGCCTGTATGGCCTCACGAACTGTCCAGCTTCCAGATGGGATGCACAAATAACAGCAGCCAGTCTCCCTGCTGCCAAGGCAAGTGAACCTGCTCCCTTTGCAGCTCCTGTTGTGGTAACAGGATGGATTATTGCCTGTGCCTGCTGTGTGACACGCTGAGTCCTGCTCAGGGAAGCTGCCAGGCACCACCACAATGCCACCAACTCAATCAAGGCAGGACTTCGAGTCGACCAGCCATGAAAACTGAGCTCCAAGGTGATGTCTCAAGGTGCAGGAGGACAAGGCTCCCACTTTGTGCAAAGTTCATCAGCAGGACAAGGGCTAATTAACTGAGGGGATTTTTGGAACTCTACACTTAGCAAGAAACACTTCTCCCTACACCAAGAGCCAGGCATTATGTACACTGGAGGTTAAAAACTCTGGAGCCTGCTCCCAGCTGCATCTATTAACAGATTTCCCTGTTAGTGCTATCAAAACATCTATTTTTATACCCAATTCCCCACAAAAGTCCATTATCTGAGTTTTCAGAGACAGGAGGGGCAGTGGAGACTGTCTGCACTGCTGAGAGCTGCAGCAATGCTCAGCCCCAGCTTTGGGCTGGTCTAGCATTAAAACCACAATTACAATGGGATTAAAAATATAACACAGCAGCTTGTCCAATGACAAAAAGCTATTTAACAATCCTCCTTCCCCAGGTGTGGCTGTGTGTACTAAAGGAAACAGGTATTTTGGAAACACAACCAATACAGTGGTCAGTGCAAAACACGCTGCTCCCCTTCCCTTGCCATGGAAAGGGCATTTCTTTAGGTAAATATTTATTTATTTTTAAAATATTTACTTAGTCTGAACTCACTGTTTTACCTCAATGATGTTGCTGTGTCCCTTTCAGGACACACTTACAGAAGACTGTGACCAGCCACTGTTGAAGGATGGGAGTCATCCCCAACTGGCCAGCCATGCTGTGCTACCCAAACAGTTTTCCAAAGTGACTCTCATTGGCATTCAGAATCACCACAGGACTAGGGAACACTGGAAGATGCAGACAAAAAACGAGATTCTGCGAAAGAAACAGCCGGGCTTTGAGAATAACCCACTTTTTGAACCCAGACAAAGGTTTTTTGGAACTTGCACAGAGACCTCATTCAGCCACCAGTTTTTCTAAGAGTTGGAATAAACTCACTCCTACCCCTCAGAAGCGGCAGCCTTCGGAAAGGACGGAAGCACACACAAAGGCAGCCCGTATGCCACACCACAAACATTACCCTGGGCTAAGGAAGAGGTCAAGTCCGTGGAGATTTGTCACTGGAGGCCAATTTGAACTCCATTACTGACTGCATTTTGGAGCTGCTCTCCCACATCACCTGTCAGCACGGCCACCTTCCTGCTGGGATGTGCAAGGGGAGGTGGTGGCACCTTTGTTCCACCTGCTGCTACAGCGGGGACACGTTTCCCTGAGTGCCCCTGCTCTACCCCATAGTTCCTGTGAACATTCAGCCCAGGGTGCTCCCCTGTAACCCCTCAGCAGGAAGAGGATCCAAAATCCATCACTCCCAGGGTATTTTACCTCCTTTCTCATGGGGATCAGCAAGATGCCATCTATGTGGTGTCACTTGCTTCAGACCTTGTAAGAGATGAACCTGCTGTTTGCAAGGGTTGGCGCTTAAAGAGTGGAGGAACCGGTCACAGGACTCAAAAATACTCACTCCTCTTCATTTTCAGGGCTAAGGTACAGAGGAGCCCTTTCCCCAGCATCCAGCTCCTCTCCAAACTCATCCCCAAGAGAAGGCTGGGCCTGGAGCTCACCTGGTCCTTCTCAGGCTTGTCCGAGATGTCGTTGAGGCTGGTGGAAGTCAGGTTTCGGTGAGCCATGGCCGGGCTGCCTGCAGGAACAACGTCAACACCGGTTAAAGCACCTGCCTGCATCCACTCAGAACACAGAGGCTCAGGCTACAGCCACCCCTTTCCCTGGGAGGCTGATGTGGGGGATTCCAGACCCTGACAAGCTGCTTTCATGTGGCACAGGGGGGTTTAAGACACTAACGCTTCGTCACCTCTGACCCACGGCAGTCCAGTGACTCTCAGGACAGCAAAAGAGTCTGAGGACTTTCCATAATTCCTGCCTGTGGGAGAAAAGCAATGCAGCAGCACACTGCTGGCCAGCTCACCCAGGACAAACTCATCCCTCCTCAGAGTTGGGACCTTCCAGGGTGCAAATCCCAGACACTGCACACAGCGGGCAGAGGGAGATGGCAGCTGCTGCTCCTTTGAGCAGCCCCTAATGAACGCCTCCCTCACTCCAAGGAAGCTCATTAACTAAGCTCAGGAACCTTAAGCATCTCACTGATTAAAACAACGTGTGTGCCACACTGACGGGCCAGGAGTCACCAATTCCTGACACCAGATTGTCCAGAGAGGCGAAGAAACTCTCCAGAGACACAGCAGAATAATTAAATTTAAAACAACCTAAAACACAAACAAACAACAAACCAATAGTAAACAAAGACTTCTGGGACAGATACAGGATGGGAAATCACAGTGGTCAGTATGAACAGTAAAAATTATCCTGAAATGCTCCCATCCCTTCTCATCATGTTTGCAGGAACCTGAAATGCAGCACCAGGAGCTTTTATGCCAGAATTTCTGACCATGAACTTCACTGGAAAGAGAGGAAATAGTAAGGGGGAAAAAATGGCAAGGAGGAATCTCCCAACTGAGGTTGTGTTTTGAGACAAAATGTATTTGATATTATTATAAGGAATGTCCAAGTTCTCAGTGTTCATCAGCTCCCAGCACAAACAAGCTCAATAATAAATCAGCATCAGGAGCAGATAACCAAAGGAGTGGGAATAAAAAACTCCAGACTCCTCAGAGCTGGGTTTTCTTTACAACATACATGGGGATAGATTCAAAGTAGCTGTACCTACTGCGTGTTACTGCCACATCCAGCAACATCAGCACAGCCAAAGCCAAGCACAATTAGACAAGTCATGTTCTACAAAGGGGGATCCCTCTTCAACTCTTCCTGCTGTTATTTAAAACCCCATTCAGCTGCTATTTTTTCCAGATTACATCACTTGTTTTCTTTGTTTATTAGATTCCCAGCTGACTGTTCCCTGGGATATGATGACCCTTCTCCCAAGAGGAAGAGGCTTGGTGCCTTTCTCTCCCTTTGCTAGCAGCCTCCTTCTCCTGGGGGGGTCAACATAGCCCCACAAACCCAGAGCAGCTCCAAACAAACACGTGGAGTACCAAGTTTCGGCTGCTGAGATCCCCGTGGAGGATTTCTGGCCCACGACACTCACCCTTATGATGTTTGCTAACCAAGGATCATTTCCTGACCCAGGCCATTCCCTGTCACACTCCTGCTGCCATTCCCAGTCACACTCCAGCTGGCCCAGCTCTACCCTGCTGCTGCCATTCCCAGTCACACTCCTGCTGGCATTCCCAGTCACACTCCTGGTGCCATTCCCTCTCACACTCCAGCTGGTCCAGCTCTACCCTGCTGCTGCCATTCCCAGTCACACTCCTGCTGCCATTCCCTGTCACACCATTCCCTCTCACACTCCTGCTGCCATTCCCTGTCACACTCCTGCTGCCATTCCCTGTCACACTCCTGCTGCCATTCCCTGTCACACTCCTGCTGCCATTCCCTGTCACACTCCTGCTGCCATTCCCTGTCACACTCCTGCTGGCCCAGCCCGCCCCAGCGCCCCCGCACTTACTGAGCCATCCCACGCTGGGGCTGCGCTGCACTCCCAGTTCATCGTCCAGCGTGCGCGTGGCCAGGCAGGGCACGGAGCTCTCCAGCGGGCTGCGTGCTTGTGCCGGCAAGCAGGAGACAGGAGCAGCAGCAAAGAGCAGGAAGAGAGCAAAGGGGAGAAGTTAAAAGAAAAGAAAAGAAAATTATGCCAGGAAGAAAGGCTCAAGCAGTGGCACAGGGAAGCCAGGCAGGAGAGAAGGTTTGAGCTGCACCAAAGCCCACTCGTTTAGATCCTGACATCTCCTCCGCAGCTCCGCCTCGCAGCGTTCACTGGGAAGGGCTGGACACAGCTTTCCATCCCTGGTCTCTGAAATTCAGGCATCTTTGAAGCAGATCTCATGCAAGTGAGTGAGCAGCTGCATTGCTGGTGGCACTGAGCAGTTCCAGGCTGCAGCACCATCAGTAACAACAGGTTTTTCAAAATAAAGATCACATCATGTCCCTGGAGCCAACTTTGAGCATCCTGACCCCATCTGTACACACTCAGGCACACCAATCCAGACTTGGAAATGCTCACCTTAGTCTGCAATGCTTCCAGTGATGCCAATATACACACTGATAGGGGTTTTCCAAGCATTCCTTGGACAGCACCTCATTTCTGGTATTGTTCAGCTGATGCCACTGTTCAGCTATAAAGGCACGGAGGTCCCAGTTCATGTGAAAAGCACTGAACTGATTAATGCTGAACCAGAGGAGCCATGGCTGCCCTATCCCTGGAAGTGTCCAAGTGACAAGGCTTGGAGTAACCTGAGCTCGTGGAAGGTGTCCCTTCCAGGCAGGGCCTGGAACAAGATGGTCCTTCAGCTCCCTTCCAACCCAATCTCCTCTAGGGTTCTAAAGTAGAATAAAACCTTTCTCCCCCCACAGCCAGGTACCCTCCTGTCTGTGCCTCAGCTGACACCATGCCAACAGCCTACTTTTCCCACTCAACTGCTTCCAAACCATGCTGCCAGCACAGTGTGAACAAACAGTGCTCAGGAGGTGTTCAGGCAGCACCCACGCCGTGATGGGACCGTGCCATTATTTATGGTGGTTAAACACACACACTTAAACACAACACAGCTTTCTACAGGCTCTGCCAGCTTGGGTTTAGCAGCATTTCATCACTTCTCACTTGCCAAAGGCTCCCACAGGTGTTAAATTATACAAAATGCTGGCAGGCACGAAGCTCTGAAAGAAAAATCTCAAAATGGAAAGCAAATGTCATCACAGAAGGGTGGTAAATACTGGTCAGTCCTCAGGCACCTGCAGAAGGAATGGGGACCACAGATCCCATGTTATAGCATGGCAAAGCCCAAGCTGTGCCAGCTGGAGAGCTGCTAGCCCAGGTGCCACGTACTGCTCCAGGGGTGCAGGACAAGGGCTGTGCCAGCAAGGGATACAAAGAACTCTTCAAAAGCCACTCAACAAAACCAGACACACACAAAAACCCCTGCAGTCTCATCAACATGTAACATGGAAATATCCCTGATGAACACTTCATGCAGCTCACCCTTCTGCCAATGAAGCAAGGAAAAGGGCTGTGTCTTCACAAGGTAACGTGGAGGGATTGCTTAGTCCAAATTTGTATGCCCAGAATTCTGGCAATTATCTTTTTCCTACTGAACAGACAGCAAAGGAGTGCTGTGATTTATCCTCCTCCATCCATGGCACACAAGGAACTACCCTCTTTTCCCAATTCCTTCCCCAGAGCAAAGGGATGATTCCTGACAAAACATCCTGCCACAGCATGAGCCACATCAGCCTCTACATGCAGTGATGGAGAGCAGCTGTCAGAGCACAGCTTGGCCGTGTCTCTGCCCATCTGATCACTAGCTCACCTTCAAACAGAGCACTGACATCCAAGATGGGGGCTGAGGATGACTTGTCCAGGGACCACAGAGCCATCCCCATCCCTAGAAAGGACTGGGAAAGGACAGAGATGCTCCAGGATCAATTATGGCAGAGAGATGGGCAGTACATCGCTCTTTCTTAGGTTCCTGAATTTCTAGAGGCATCTGGGATAACTGCATGGGGTTCATTCATCTCAGAAGTCAAAAATAAGAACATTTTGGAGGCCCTCAGACTTCAGTTATTTTAGTGCTCTGACCCAAGTGAGACAGAGCCACCGCAGGATTTTTTTGAGCCACAGCCCTGGGTATATTTCCAAATTTCAGATCTAGCAAACAGATGCCACCCCTGGAGGTGCTCAAGGGCAGGCTGGCTGGCTTGCAGAAGGTGTCCCTGCTGAGCCAGTCAAGCAGGGGGCAGCTACACCAGCCTGTAAAGCTGCTGTGCAGAGGGCAGGCAGATGCTCAGACCTTTTGGATGGAAGTTTCACTGACACTGAGATGAAAACAAACACCTACCTGGAAAGAAACTCAAGGGGAATTTAGGAGTGCTTGGGGCTGGTGGCACAGCCATTAGGGTGATTAGCTATGCTAAGAGACAGCTGCACTCCTGTTGGCCTCATAAAATTTTTATCTGTCTAAAGGACACATGAGACACCCACTGAATCTAAGGTATAACCTGATCAAATAGATGCTGTAGTTACTTTTCCATTGAAGTGTAAATAATAAATAACAGAAACGACTGTTCATCAGGTATTTCTCCCATGTGTCAGTCTTGCCCTCCTCAAGTCTCAGTGCACTTGTCATGGAACAGAGTGTGTTATACATCCTCAGAGCACATCAATATTCCAGGTGGGAGAACAGAGACAGAACAACATAAAAGGAGTGCTGATGGCCAGACCAGGAAAGAATTCCTGGAGAATCAGCCCAACTGAGCCAGGACCTGCACAGCCCATTCAAACAAGAACAAGAAATGAACTAAATTGAAATCACTTAAAATCCAAGTAAAGAAGGCCTTTAGCCATGACAAATGAGCAGGGGCCGAGTGAGACCGTGAGGAATGCCCTTTGTCAGCATCACTCTTCCTGGGACAAGCTCTGGAAGAGGGGTTTGCAGCCGAGAACTGAGGGCATCCCCTACAAGATCTGACTGAAACAGCTGAGCACCAGGAGCTCTGTGTCTGCCTGGGGTTCAGCCTCCCACACACCATGGCCACAGGCCAGGGTTCTGCTCCTCACAGCAAACCTGGCCATCAAAGGCCCAGAAAGGCTCGGAGGTGGTAACAGAAAGCAGATCCCTTCCCTCCAAACCGCGGGGAGCACGCTGTGGGAAGGCATCCAGAGGGCCAGGCTGGCTGGAGCTTGTAGCAATGTGGTCCAGCTGTCATTTCCTCCCTAGAGCCCAGTCCCTCTGCTCTCCATTGGCACTCTCCATGTGCCAACAGGGCACACCCTGCAGGGATGTTCACTGAGAACGCTCCCTTGGCTCACACTGCTGCACCTTGCCTTACTCACTCACCACCTTATCAGGGCACTGGACACGACAAGAGGCATCACCCAGAGCAAGGAAGAGCCTCCACATGCACACACTCCTGCTGCAAAATCAAGGCATGATCCAAGGTAGGAAATATTAATGAGGTGTGAGAACAGGTTAGGGAGGAACGTTAGGGTGAGTTTTAGAAGCCAAACACAGCAAGCTAAGAGGCCTTTTGTGGAGCAAGAAGAAAATCATTTCTTCACTTGCTTTTATTTTCTGGGTATTTTAAAATGGCAACTTTTAGCCCAATTTCCAGACTGCCACAGGAGACAGTCAAGAGAACTCCAAGGCGTGACGAGAGGCATAAATCTCTTTTTTTTATTACCATGAGCAAGAAGAACCCAAATCTCCACCCAGGCACTGAGTCAGTGTCCAGGCCTCTAGCTGTCTGCATACACACACACACATTTAGGGACACCACTACGAACATGGCACTACCTACCAAGCCTTTTTTAGAGAGAACAGGACACATATTCACAACACACACCACAAAACTATTTGAGGATGAATAAAGCAAGATGGAAATCAGCTTTACCCCACTGGACAACGATTGTATGGCAATAAAATGCAAGCTAGGTGTTACTGCCAGGTCATTTTTGATTCACAGTGCCACCGACACTGTTGCAGACACAGAACGTGCACGGAAACTTCGTCTCTGCCCAAATGTTTCAGGTGATCAGCCTTTTAAGGTTCAGGCCCCACCAAAGTTTGTGGCGAATCTCTTTCCTATTGTTGCTCCTAAACCCTCTCCTGGACGCCAGCTGCAAGGGCAGCCCCTGCCTTCCTGCCTGCCCCTGGAGTCCCTGCCAGTCCAGTGAAGGTGTGCCAGGGCCAAGCAGCCTGCAGAGCCCCCGCTGATGCTCCATCAGCACGGCCTCGCTGCTCCTGGGGTTAGGAAGCGGGGTCAGGGCCACGCAGTTAGTTGGGTTGCCGTGACAGAGAAGGCCATAGCCAGGTAGCCTCTGCATTACCATTATCGGGGTTGGAAAACATCCTACTTGCACTGGAGACGGTCTTTCCAATGTCAGCCAGCGAGCGCAGGTTGGATTTCTTGGTCTGGTGCCGGTGCTTCCTGAGCAACGTGTAGGTGACCTTGTCCTTCAGCTCGGATTTCAGCAGCCCCGTCTCGATCTGATTGTCAACGATCATCTCTGTGCCGGCACAGGGAGGGGGACGGAGGGGAGAGCAAAATTAACCACCGAGCTCAGAACCGCTTCCAGGGAGAGCAGAGAGACAGGGCTTGGAGGCATTTTCACCCTGCCTTTTTGAAGGCTTTCTTACCACCTCAAAGCCAGCTTTTATTTGTATGAAAACCTCTTTTAGACATTCCTCTTGAAGCAGAACATAAGCATTTCCATCCAGCAGGAGCCACTAACACACACCTATTGCACTGAAATTCCCTTCTGCTATTTCCCACATGCCACAGAGCCTATTTCAAAGACCAGGGTAAGACGGTTCTTAGCTCAGAAATGAAATCCCCTCTGAGCCTGGACTTTCGTGAGGATGCTATAAACTCTATTCTAAGTTCCATGATGCTCCCATAAAGCACACAGAAAATCTTCAATCAGATTCAAGAAGGCCTGAGTTCACCTTGCAGGCCCCCAGTAAAACCTAATCTAAAGATAGGAAGAAGTCCTGGAGATGAGCCACTAATTAAATCATTCCCTTGCAGGACTGAAGTGATGGCAACTACAAGCGGCAGAACTTGCTCCAGTTACCACAGCACGTATTATACGGCTTTACTTTTCATGGAGTCACCAGGAGAAAAGGCCCTCAATGACCACTCACTTCCTATCAATTCCCTCCTTTCTCCTCCCTTATCCCAGAGGAAAAAGGCAAAAAAGGTGGCCAGACTTATGAAGAATGTCCCCTGTGCAGTAAGTCTCGCATGAAGCTGTTCCCTCGGTGACTCGAGTTCATGCGCTGTCCCCCGAGGGCAAGTGGCAGCTCATATTTGTCTGCTGGTAACTTTTATTTGTGCTAATAATAAAAGTTATGGCAAGGGGGAGGCAGGACACGCATCACATTTGCTAACTCAGTGAGTCAGAAAGTCATCCTCGACGTGCTGCTCAGAATTAAAGCCTCTTCAAATCCCCAAGGAAGCACCTAGCTCTTCCTCTCAAATTAAGACAGGGCGGGCAAACGCACGTAGGTGCCCTTACACAACATGCTTGGCAAAAGGCTGACTTTTGCTAAGTGTTATTTTAATGCAAGCTTTTCTTGCTCCTGGTTTTGGTTAAGTGATTTTTGGAGTATTTCCTTCAGAACCTTCAATCAAGTTTATCCTTCTCGATCTGGCAATTCCCTTCCCTGTTGCTGGTAAAAGACGAACAACAAAGAGAGTTTTTCTTTGGAGTTTTCCTTTCCTGTGTGTCACTACCAGACACCAGCCCAGTGATCATGATTAAATCATCCTGGAAATCCAGTGCTGGATATCCCTACCTGTCTGATTAAGGGTCTGGACCAGCAAAAACACCCCGCTCAGGACAGCGTCACAGTGTCACAGCAACAGCAGCCACCGATGTGTAATTTAATCTCCTAGGAATTAGATTTAATTTGGGGGTTGAAGAAGGAGATTGAAGGTGGCATCTCCAAGGGACTTCAAAAGAAAATTTAATGTTTGAGGGTTTAAGGTTTTGGACCATGAACATCAGCTTCTGAAGCAGGTTCACCTTCAGCAGAAAACTTGAGAGGTTCTCGGGGGGTTTATTTTGTTAAAACTTTGCAAAGCTGTGCATTTGGATACACGGACACAAAAGCAAAGAGAGATACATGTCACCATAAGCACTTGCAAAACTAAGTTCAAACTCCGTATTTAACACCAGAAGCAGCTGTAATTCCCAAGTCTTACAATCCAGTGTATGGGAGAATTCCAGGGCAGGATAATTTTGACCTTGCTTCCTGAGATGATCATTCAAAGCACTGAGTTTTGGCAGAGGAAGTACTTAATTTTGCTCTTTTGCTCATGTAATGGCTCTTAAACTCAGCATTTTGGTTAAATGTCCCTCCACTGGATGGCTCAATTGGAAAAGTTATTTTCCCTAAGTTCTCACACACTATGGGCAACATGATGTGGCCCTCAGCATGTCACCGAGCGTCACCCCAGGCCACAGCTGATTTGACCTCCCACTGTTCAGAGCAGAGCACCAGCTGGTGCTGGGGGTGCTCTCCCCTCTCCCTTGCTGGGGGCTTCCAAACACAGCCCCACGTGCCCTCAGTGGGCAGCTGGACACCTCACCCAAGAGCAGCTCCTGGCCCAAGCTGTTCTGCATGAACGGTACCTGACGGGTGTCTCTGCCCCCAGACACGTGGCCCTTCCACGTATCAGCTTTTCCATAGGGAACATAAATTAAATGGATGTCTTTTGCTCTTCTTCCTGCACTCAGAAGGACTCTTGTAATCCATCAGCTATCTTTCTCCAGGTACTTTTTAGTTTCCCCCTCTTATTCCTTGCTCTTTTATTTCCTCTTTATTGGAAAAGTGGCGCTTTTTCATTAAAACCACCCATAAAGCCATACCAGGATTAATAAAAATTTGCGGGGAAGCGGTGAGAGAAAGAGCCAAGACAGATGTACTTACCCACCACCTGTGGGAGGGAAGAGGCCTCCATATCCAGCATGATGGAGCCCTTCTCTATGCACGTCCTCAGCTCGAACAGGCTGTGCAGAGACAAGGTGGCCACGTGCGGTTTGCTCCATCGCTCCCCGCCTTGCTCCACCTTCTCCTCAAACTTGATCCACCTGCAACAGGGCACAGCAATGACATGGGGTTAAGGCTGTTGCCTCCTTGCAGGGAAATAAATCACGTGAATGCCTTCACTGTCTTGGCAGTTCTGGTTTAATGGCTGGGCTCCGTCGTCCTGGAGGGCTGTTCCAAACGAAATGGTTCTGTGATTCAGTTTCAGGCAATAAAATATGGAATCAGCCACTGGCAAGATGGAGGCAGCATGGAATACTGCTGTCCCATACCCACAGGCTGACAAAGGAGGGAAGAGAGGAGCACAAGCCAGCCATGTCTGAGGGTGCTCTTAGAGAACAAATGAGCCACCAAAGGAGAAGGCACCAATTAAGGAGCTCATTCTCTCCCTCCAGCTGCTGTTTAATGATTTAACCAAGCAGGTCTGAAAAGCCCAGAAAACTTATCTCTGATGGAAGGTGAGAGCAAAGGGTAAATCCTGGTTGTGCAAAACACTCTTTACACCCCTAAAACTACATCCCAACAGCAGGGAAGCAGGAGGCTCCATGTCCCTGGGCTGCAGCCCACCCCCAGCTCCCCCTGCAGCCTTGACCCTGCCCTTGGCCCCGCAGCCACAGGGATGGAGCACAGGGCTCCCGTGAGCCTGGGGCATCTCAGCTGGCCCTCACCTTCTTCCTCACCACAGCACCCAGCAACAGCTCTGGTGTAAACTGGGAGTGCAGGAAAACGTGGTTCAGTACGCCCTAATGGCAAGGCAGAAATGGTTTTTAATCCCCTCTTCAGACACCATTTTAATATAGGCGGAAAATGAAAATTCCAGTGACTAATATAAAGGGATTATTAAGAAGAAACCCCACACACATAAGGTAAGGAAGCTCATACATTTGTTCAAAAGAATATTATTAACAGCAAGTGAAATTATCTTTAATCCTGAAAAATGTATTACTTGAGGATTAATCAATTATGCTTCACAATTGAAATAATCTCTTTTTGAGACTTTGTTTTTTTTAAAGCTGCTTTTTAAACTCAAGATAAAAGACTGATTTTCATCTCCAATTAATAAAGTCCTTTTAGTTCACAAGAACTGAGTGTTTCCTAGGACACCTGAGGGACCTGGGTGGATGCAAATCTGTGCACTTCAGGGGCTTTGTGTGGAGTCATATTTACCCTGTTCCAGCAGGAAGGCTGTAAATTACCAGTGTTTGTCCTTCCAGGGAAAGTGATTACTCACAACTATCAATATTTGCTTTTTGTTTACTTTTCTCACTACAAGCCACAGACCCAGCACAATACACCAACCATTAACTTGCAGACCTGGCTGAACAAATGCCTGCTCGATTCCCACCATCAGAGTGTGTGTGGAGCTCACAGCTCACCTAGCTCCAAACTGCTGCCAGGGGCAGGGACACCTTCACCCAGCACTACCATGGGAATGCCTGCATTCCAGAGGTGGCCACAGTGAAGCAGAAAAAGGAGAAGACCTGCGGCAGCTGGAGGCCCCCAGGCTGTTGTGAGGCTCAGTGAAGGAGCTTTGGGGACCAAGACATGGCCACCATAGTGTGGGGACAGTCCCTCTAAAAGGCAGCAAGATGGCAGGAAGGTGATGGGATTACAGAGAAAAGGAATGACAGTGTGGGATGGTGGATACAGGATTTTTGAACTTCTGTTATGATCTTTTTTGTTGTATAAGCTGTGTGAGGAATTACATTTTCACCCTTTTACACCTGATAATATCAACACAGCTTTCACAGGGCTGCTGGGAGTGAGGTGCAGCAGGCAGAAGGAATGTGTAGGTGTCAGAACAGAGCAGGGGGGAGATGAGGAAGGTAATTTGATTGTTTGCTCTCTCAAATATGAGTGCAGCCTTTAGCCCTGCACCAGTGTGCAGGCAGCACTGCTCTCCCCTGCTGAGAGCTGTGCAGTTCTACACTGGGGCCAGGGGAAGCAGCAACCCCACCAGGTCTCTTCTGTCCTCTCCTCTCTCCTCCACTGCACTTTTTCCTGTGTTCAGTACCTGCTCCTGCAACTTCCCAGCTGTGGGAAGAGAGCTGCTCTGCAGCAGCAGATGTAAAAATAACCCCAAACCAGCTGGCCCACTGAAGCACAGCACCAGTCAGCTCTGGATGAACTGGGAGATGCTCAGGAGCTCTCACAAGGTTCTATGGTGCAAGATTAAGTAATTTCAGAAATGAACTGAAAAATCCTGAACAACCAGACACTTTGTAAGATCACTATCCACAAAGGCAGGAGGTTGGGCCAATTTAGAAATTCAACAGCACTTCAACAGGGTGCTTCATTACATTCTGTGTCATTTATACAAAGAGTCATGGATCCATTCAGGTTGGCAAAATCCTCTAAGATCATCCAATCCAAACATGAACACAGCAAAGCCGAGGCCACCACCAACCCATGTGCCTAAGCATCACACCCACACATTTGTTAAATCCCACGAGAGGTGAGGACTCCACCACTACCCTGGGCAGACACCCCCCTATGGGTGAAGAAATTTTTCCTAATATCCAACCTAAACCTTCCCTGGCACACCTTGAGGCTGTTTCCTCTTGTATTGTGGTTTGCTACTTGGGATAAGAACCCTGCAGAGAACCCCACACACAGCTCAATTCAGCATTCCTACCAAAGAAGTGTAAAAACACCTAAATCAGGAGGTGCTGAATTCATGGTAAGAGGAAAGAACAGCAATAAAAGGAGAAAAAGGATGAGCAACAAGACAAAAGTTAGAGAGTAAAAGGTGAGAAGTCATTAGTTCCCCACATGACTGAGAAGCAAAAATAAATTAAGATAAGAGGTAAAGAGGTAGGTGGTGGAGCAGCTCATTAAACCACAGGTAAAGAAGATGAGGGTGACCAAACAGGGGCTAACTTTGAACACAGACAGTGCCCTTAAGAGGGGGAGGTGGGGAAAAAGCTTAGCCCAGCCACCATAAAGGAAAAGGAAAACCCCCAGGCTCAATGAGGGCAACTGGGAATAGGTCAGTGGTGTTCAGATACGAACCACATGGAACTCCAAAAACATCCCAGCGTTTTTATCATGGCTTTTTGACCAAACTAACAGCAGCATCAAAGAGCCCGACCAAGGAACTCAAAGCAAGCATCCCCATCCAGCATTTAATGTGCATCTTGAATAATTTCTTCACAAGAAAACACCTTCAAGTTTTTTTTCCTATTTAAAACGAATTCCATCAGTTACTCACGAGGACAGCCTGTCCCTGTGAGGGGGGACCAGGCTCAAAAGCCACTTTGGGGCAATAGTACTGAAGCGGTTTTGACTCAGCCAAATTGGAATTGGCAACTTCTGCCAATTCCGGCCGAGACGTCCCCCTTTGCAAAGCACTACTGAGCCCTTACTTTTCTCTCCACAGGCAAACTACTGCAATCCATCTGGCACTCTCTTGTTTCCTTAGTTTTTCTTTTGGAACATTTAAGCAAACCCTAAAATTCTCTCATTTACCAAAGAACGGTGATTTGAACCGTACAGGCTCCTTTCTGCCGCTTCCCCATGCGATCCCGCAGCACAGGTACGTGCTAAAACAGGAATCTCCCACGGAAAGCGCTGCTGGCTGCCCTTCCCTTTGGGGGTAAAGGAAAACCAACCCCCCTTGCAGTCTCCTTCCACTCCATCTCCTGTCCATCGACAGCCAGAAGCTCGTCCAGCTCGGTGAAGAGCTGCGGGGGCGCGGGGCTGTCATCTTCCTCTCCGAGGATGAAGCGGATGCGCTCGGCGGCGGGGGAGACTGCAGAGGTGAAAATACTGCGGTTAACGGCCTGCGAGACGACCAGGGACGTGCGGCTCCTCTCCTTGCCCTGCTCCCCAAGGCCATTCAGCTGCTTCTCCAGGCTGCCTCTGCCATCTGACATCCTCGTCGCTGCGGACGCAGGCGCGGGAGCGAGGGTGCCTCTATCTCCCTCTCTCCCCTTCCTTGCCTCTCACTGAACTTCTTACAAGTTCAAGCTGGGAGTAAAGTTCAGGAAAACTTGTCTCTTCCTACAGACCTTAACTACGTTACAGCAATTTGCAGTCCTTGTGAAAAAAAAAGCACTATGGAGCTCAGAACCAATGCGCTCTGTGGCGCTGCCCGAGGACCTGCCGCTCTCCGAGCAGCCCGGATCCTTCACCCCCTTTTTTATATGACCTAAAACCAGTTCCAGCCAAACCAATTGGGGGCTTGCTGGCACAGCATCCCACTGCTGGCTTTCCCCTCCCTCCCTGCCAGCCAGGTTTGGGCTGCCATTGGCCTGCAAGGCAGGCTGGAACCTCCCCAGCCCACCACTGGAAAGCACAGGAATACTTAACAGAAGGGTTGTCTCCTCTATACGTGAAGAATGCAACCCAATGCATTTAGTCAGGCACCAATGCACTGAAAAAAAAAACAACTGGTCCCGGTTGGGAAAGACTGACTGTTTAGGCAAAAGAGTTCAACACACGGCACAAGCAAGGCCTCTTTGCATTATAAGCTCGAGAAAAAGGACAGAAACCCTTTCCTTGTTAAGGGTTCAAAATTCAATCCTGAGAACATCACCGTCCCCATCCTCCCAAGGCCCGAGGGCATCTCCCAAAGCTAAGTGGAGCCCACAGCACCAGAGTCACCTTGCTGGAGGGCTCCTTGGGGTCTACAGCCTTCTTCTCAGCATATCACCTTAAAACAAAGGTGTGACCATGTGAAATTTTAAGACCGACATCCTTTCTGCTGGGTGTTTATCAGCATTAGAGATACACGGCAGACTATGAACTTTGAACAGTTCTGCTAAAAACTCCTTTCTTTTCAAAAGATCAGCTGGCTGTCTCTTGCAAAATAATTATTTACATCAGGTGTCCAACCACATTGATTTTTCCAGGGTAAAGAGACTCTCAATTTGCAATGAGAAAAAAGAAACCAGTAAAAAACATGCCCTTTACTCCTTTTTTCTTTTCCCTAAATAAACTTTGATAGCTTTCTTCCTAAAGTACTCAAAGTGATGATGCTTCAGTGATATAGATTTCCCTTTGACTGAAAGTATATTTGTAATCATAAATGCCCTTGGAATCTCCTGGGAGGCAGGGACCTTGCCCTGCTGCTACAGCAGCCTCCCCATCACGAGGCATTCACCTTCCTGCAGGCTTCAGGAGAGCTGGAGAGAGACTTCTGACAAGGGCCTGGAGTGACAGGACAAGGGGGAATGGCTTCCCACTGACACAGGGCAGGGTTACATGGGATATCAGGAAGAAATCCTTCCCTGTGAGGGTGCTGAGGCCCTGGCACAGGTTATCCAGAGAAGCTGTGCCTGCCCCATCCCTGGCAGCATCCAAGGTCGGGTTGAATGGGACTTGGGGCATCCTGGGATAGTGGAAGGTGTCCCTGCCCATGGCAGGGGGCTGGGGATGCCAGACTATCCATCCATATCATGCATGTTCCATCGTCCTCTCCCTTTACCTGCACTAATGAATCTCAATATACTTTTATATTCAAATAGAATCAAATATCACAGCTAGAAAACAAATAAAATACAAGTCCATCTTACTGCTTCAAAAAGCCAGGTGGACCACAGAAGTGGCTGCTGCTTGGGAGAGGCTGTAAGAGAAGGGACTGCAGAGCTGCTTGAGCTGTTGAAGGCATCCACTGGAGCCAAGGGGAACAGTCTCTCTCGAGTCCCTCTGAAGTGGTTTTACCATCTGGAATGCCACAGTGATATTCCCAGCCATGATCGCTGCACACTGAGCCTGGGTGCCCATTGTCTGTCACCCCCTCTCTCCTGCCTGCCTCCTCTCCCTGTAGCTCAATTCCCGTTATCCACACTTTTAGGGCCCACGATAAGGCTCACGGCCCCATTAGGGGTCACAGGTCCCGATGCTCGCCCGACCACGCGTTCTTTATTGCCATCTGTGGGTTAATGGGCCGTTGATGGGTTGTTTATGCGCTCCCTCCAGCAGGGAGAACATATTTTCACCCTAATCTCCAGGCGAACACCGCGTGCTCGGCGTGGGCAGCCGGCTGAGCCCCGGGCTGAGGCACTGGAGAGTCATTAACCCGGGGGGTGACCCCTCAGCCCTCTGCCTGCCCGACCTTTGAGCACCACCTCGCCAGCCTTGGCCATCACCTTCGCTTCCACCTCTCCCTTCCAGCTTGGAGCTGCTCAAGCCACACCGCTGGTGCCAGGAGCGGCTCGGGCTGCTCAATGCTGTGTTCCTTGCTGTCTTCTTCAAGAGAACAACCTGATGGTCAGCAGACATTTGCAGCAGAGAAAAGGCTAATCCACAAATTTAGATGGCTGGGGTTCTATTTTTCCCCTGAATGGGAGAGGAATGAACACATTAATTGCAGAGGGTTGAGTGGTCCAATGCAACACGGATACAGAGGCAGTGCCATCTATGGGGATGTCTCTCACTTGCCTCTCTTCCCTTTCCAGTTCCATTCAGCCACACACAGTCTGCGAGGCAGCTTATAAAATGGTAACTTGCACAGAGCAAACACATCAGCAGTTTCTCCAAGTTCAGCTCAGGCCAGTTCTGAGCACAATGTATACCCTCGGGTTCCCAAAGGCAAAAATCAATCTCCATCAAGAGAGAGGAATCTCAGGGAGTTCGGAAATAGGGAGAGACACGTTCTAGTACAACAACCTCAAATGGGACATGGCTGAGCTTCCCAGCCCTGCTCCAGCAATTGATTTGGTGGCAGCCGACCCTCACTGCCTGGTGCAGTGGCACAGCCACACGTGGAAATGCCAGGGGGATTGGTGGCACTGGCCCCTATCCTAAAGTCACCTCCTGCTTCAGTGCCGAGGGCCTGGCTGGTGGTGGGTGGAAGGCAGCTTCAGCCTGGCTCTCTGGGTGTACAGTGCTGCCTCAGGATGGAGCACAGGGGTATGTATCTGTGTTGATGCACAAGTTAAACAGCCTGTTCTCCACTCAGCCAACATGCTTTCCCCCCTGCCTTTTCAGCTGGGACACTTCTGAAGACCCTGGGGACCTGCACCTCAGCCAACCGCATCCTCCACCCGAGGCCAGAGGGAGCATCAGACACAAAGCTCTCTGTTGCTTCCAAGTGCGTTGGCAGCTGCAGAAATCCCCGAGAGACCTGGTGCAAATCCCTCCCCAGAGCCTGTGGAACCAGTATCAAGGAAAGCTGTTTGTCAAATGTGCTTTCCAGGCAGCCTTATTAAAATAGGACATGATCGCACTCCCCTTCCTTTCTGGGGCTGCCCTCCCTGTGCCAAAGCCCGGGTCAAACCCATCTGCAGTCAGAGCAGTGACACACTTGTGCAGACACCTCTAACAGATTTAAACTTGTTTCCTTTCCAGTTCAGCTGACTTCCCTTCCAAAATTCTCCATTACCAAAACCAATTTTAACTGTGTGCCACTGTCAACCAAAGACACCAGCTAAAGGCATGTGGGGAGGCTTTGGTGGCCCAGAGTCACACCAGCTTCCTTTACAGACAAACCTGAACAGAATGCCAGCAAAAACCAGGAGATGCTGAAAACAATCCCCTGGGACATCCAACGCGCTGGGCCAAGGCCACAGGGTAAGGCAAGGGACGCTCTCCTGCTTTACCAGCAGTACTGTCCAGCACTTGTGGAGCACACAGCCCCTCCACAACATTCCTGCACCTTTACAGGTAAGAACTGTTATTTCCTTTAGGGAAGGGAGAACGATCTCTTCAGGTAACACCAGTTTCTGCAGAACAGCCCAGGTGAGAACTGATTTCCTGATTCCCCAAGCGCTCCACCAAGCACAAGCATCCCTGAGCACCACCAAAAAAGCCAACTGCACACAGATTTACACGTGACACCTGCTCCTGGAAAGACTGCTCCAAGTTTTTGGGAACACTGCTCCGAGGCCACACGCCGGCCTTTCCCAGGGTCCCACAGGAGCAGCCCTGGGTGATCTGCTCCTCAGCTAATCGCTCTCAGCAAGCGTGAGAATTTCTCCTTGCTTGTTTTGCGTCTCTGCTTACGAACGATTACTTTTTGACCCCGTTCTGGGGCGGGCTGGCTGTGAGGCAGATTAGACTTTCCACAGGCAGGACTTGGCAGCCAGGAGGGAACGCTCCCCACAGCACCTGGAGCCCACCCCAGGCCACTTCTTGCACGACTGTGGGGTGCAGAGAATGCTATTCGAGGGGCTTGATCTATCTTGGAGCAAATGCACCCCATCCTTTCAGAGTGTCCCTTCCCAGACATGATGAACAGCACTGACTGCCTCTGGAATAATCCATTTTTTGCTGGACTTTTGGACTGCATGATAGTACGTGTTTTGCTGTAAATTCCTCTGCAGCATGTGGCATATATTAAGTGTTTGATCTGCAAAAAATCTTCGGTGTTGGACAAATTCTTGCTAATACTGTGCTCTCAAGTGCCAGAAGAACAGTAGCATTTATGTAATGAAAAATCTTCGGTGTTGGACAAATTCTTGCTAATACTGTGCTCTCTCAAGTGCCAGAAGAACAGCAGCATTTACATAATACCTTGCTGGGCATTCCCAGCTCCCTTGGTCTTTGGTGCTGTGCCTGCAGATACTTGGTTAAAACATTCCTTGGAGATGCAGGGAGAGAAAAAGGACCCTTCTTCCCAAAATGTTTCACATCAGCTCCTCCACGGATGCAATGGGAACAATCAGTCTGGGAAACTTCTAAACAAACCCAGCACTATCTCATGAAAATTTGGTGAGCCTTACCCTAAAAGACAATTCCTATAAAAGAAGGCAACCTGCCAATTCCATCCACATGGCTGTGATGAGAGACCACCACATGCTATATCCC